GATGATTCTGTCGCATTCAGCGGACATTTTCAGGGAGAGGTGAGCTACTATGCACTGCATCCTACATTATAATAACATAAAAAGATGAAAATCCCTTGTCCTTTCTTTCCAACTGGGACAACGGACTGTACACAAGCCTCCGTGATCAATGTGTAAATGTGCTTTACCACGTCACAGATAATGTTACAGAGAGAAATATGTATGAGAGAGGCTCATTGTGGCATTAGCTTTTCCAACAATTGCTATATATTTGAAATATGCTTCCTCTTACAATTTCTAGCAATGAGTTTAGGCTTCCTAATGATATTTTTGTAATACAAGGGGGGAAAATTTGCTGATCTCTGCCTTCTCTACTAGTCATTAGAAGATTGGAAATGTTCCTTGAAAATTAACCCAAATGACTTCCCAATAACAAACTTCCTATCTGTTCTTCCAGCAAAGCTGTTTTTTTAGCATGTTTTAAAGAGAGTTGATCAGTACAACTTTTCACAGAGGTTTTTGGTATTTCAAAGGTTGTTACTGAAGCTAATTGGAAACCCACAGGGCCAGAAGGCAGTTGTGTATAACCTGAAAATACGTATGTGTGAATCCTGAAAGGAGCTCCGAATAAGAGACTGACGAGGTATGGGGCAAGGAGTGAGTGGCATCCCAATGGCTCCAGGGGGCCCGGTCAGAAGCTGTGAAGAACGGAAGGATGCTTTCAGAGAAAAGAGGGAAAGGAAGACCGTTCAGGAGGGGGGATCAGAGCAGGAGTGGAGTGGCTGAGTAGCTGTGGAGGTCTGGACTCGGCATGTCTAGGGTGTCTCACGCTGACCCGGAAGGCCCTGCTCCTGACGCGCGCAGAGGGCTTACAGCCAAGACCAGGGAAGGAGATAGAAGGCAGAAGCTGGGTCCTCCGAGCTCAGGGCACTGCGTGAAGGGCTGAAGAGGGAGAGCGCAGCTCCCGCCGGGACTGGAGAATCGTGGTTTTAACACAGAGCTCTTCCCATATTTTACACTTTGGGAATCTGCAGCCAAAACCAAAATCCACTGAGGGGATGGTAATGCAAACAGGTCGTCATTTTTACACTGTGTGTCTGATGACGCTGGTGGCAGACATGATATTTCTCTGTTTTCTACCTTTAGCAAGATTTTAGTAAAAAAAAAAAATCTTTTTAAATGCTTTAAACTATTGCTGGGAGGATATGCTCCCAAGCTGCATATAGCTTTAACTCACTTCATCGCACCAGGTGTAGTTCTTTGCAGTAAGAAACATCAGGATCCCACCTACACTGGGTGTACAGACCTCGCAGGTAACTGCACCTGAGCACAGTTGGGTCCTGAGCAGGTGTATCTCCCTGGAGTTCATGAGACATTCAAAGCTGCTTTATAATTGTGTACTCATCACATTAACCCAGATGTCCTATGTTTCCCAACCCAATACAAATAGAATAAAGGAGAGCTGCATGAAAGAGAGACATTGTATAGTCATGATTTCTGTATAGCTATTTAAAGGTTACTATCCTAGTAATATAATGGGACCTTTTTTCTTCCCATGATTCCTCAATTGGTTTTCCTGCTAGGGCTCCCGAGAGCATTAGCCAATACTGATGTGCCCTCCACAACTGGCCTCTCTGCTCCCCTGAGCCTGGGCCATCTACGCATCTCCTTGATGAGTCCTTACAGTTGCAAACCTCAGAGAACGTGACCTCTCAAGTGCCCAGGAGCATCTCCTAACACTGTATTATGGCAGGAGACCTCTCACTTACTACAGGTCTTACCTTCTTCCTCATTGTTGATGGATAGTCTACAAGACGGACAGTTCTTGCTAAATTTGGAAATAAATAACTCCTTGGATTTTGTCCAGCCCTACTTTGTACCAGAATGGAAAGTAGAAAAATAGCACATCTCTTGGCTTGTGGCTATAGGACAGCCACCAATTCCAAGACCCCAGGGCCTGTATTGTTTTTGTGGCAGTAAACAGACAGCTGCTCTTGGCATTTACATGCATAGCGTTTCTCTCTGATCACTAGGAGATGGTTTCTTTCTGACAGGTTTGGAACGAGCTGTGAGTCACTGCTTCACTGGCTGCGTTCAGCGTGGAGGCAGGGCACCCGGGGACTCTGACCTGGTGTTGCCGCGTGGTTTCCTCGGCCCTCTGGGAGGGTGTGTGTAAAGCATTGCCCACAGGGTTGACTGTTCCCTATAAACCTCTGCTGCATTGAACTTGGGATTTGTGGTACCCAAAGTACCCCCAGTAACTAAAAGAACGAGAAAGAAAATGCCCCCCAAACGCTCGTCAGCAGATTAGGTAGTAGAGCCTAACACTGCAGACCGACCCCATTGGGAGCACTACTTCGTGGACATGACATATTTTCGCAAGCACAGAACATAAGAAAATGTGGAGGTGACTTTTATGGGTTTATTAATCTTGTGGATATCTGAGTAATGCAGTTCAGACTTTGTGACTGTCCAGTGGCTCTGTTGAGTGAGCTGTGCTCCTGGACCGCCTTTAGACGGGGGAGCTGCCCCGAGCTCTCCTGCCCTCCCCCCGGGGGAACGCTCAAAGCAAGGCCAGGAGCCTGGGCGAGGAATGTGTTCCGTGTGCAGAGGACAGCCCTAGGCTGCGGGCGGGTAGCCGGTCTGTAGACCAGACGCGTTCTCACCCAGTGATTTAAAACCTTAGCTCCCTCCTGCGGTTTTCTCTCTTCTCATCCACACCTCCACCTGCTCGGTGCCACACAACCCCTCCTGCCGCTGCTTCCTCCTTCCTGCCCTCTAGAACCCCTCAGAAGGCTCCCACTTCTCATGTCCTCTGACCACGTGCTCTCCCGGCCTCTGCAAATAAAATGTGTTTTGAGTACAGTTGTGGATCGGGAGGAATTGTTTGGCGTCTTCAGGCATCATGCCCTTATCATGGGTTGAGAGAATGTGTGAAGATAGACGGGAGATGCGAAGACTAGACAGAGGGGCTTCCCTCCACTGTGCAGAGGGACTACGTCTAAAGGCAGCCTGTGTATCTCACCCCCTTCTGCACCATGCATGGGGCTGGCTCGTAAGAAATGACAAGGGCAAGATTTGTTGATTTTTTTTTCCATTTCAGTATGGTAGGTAGAACATGGAAGGGTTATCACCCAGTATTCTCTAGGTCACAGCCAGCCAGCATGATTTTTAAAATTAGTGCAAAAATTATTTTAGGCTGAGAGAATGATTTTCAGTGAAGATAGTCGAGGAGATGAGTTTGGGCCCAGGCTGCCTACATTAAAGATAAGTGCTGCCACTCACCAGAAATGTGACTTTGGGCCAGTTAACATTTCTAACCCTCATTTTCTGTATCTTTGAATTAGAAATAATGATGGTATATACCTCATGGTGTCACTGTCAGAATTAAATGAGTTAATCCACATAAAACCCTGTATAACACCTGACACAGAATATGCTCCATAAATATGCTGGCTATTATTACTTGATTGATTATTTGCTCTATTTGAGATACCATTTTATTAATTGTTCTGCTACTATATAGATATTTAAATTTCTCCTTACTTCATTAAAAAGTTGCAGAAGGAACAGTTCGTGTGGAATCTTTTTTTTTTCTTTGTTTTTGTTATGGAATCTTATGTCTCCTAAGTTTCAAGAATGAGTTTCTCACTGGCATCTTCTTGGCTAGAAACCTTTTGCAACAACCCCTGACTCAATAATTGTTTCATCCTTTCTTCATCAAACTGATTTAGAATACACAAAGCTGGCTCATAGAAAAAGAACTTGAAAAATATATGGTGCCCTGAGAATTCTTTTCTGGTGTTAGTTCTGTTTTTATTTCAGCAAGGGAACAGCATAATTTCTTTCCAATTATTGCCAGCTCTGTTACTGTGAGGCCTTTTGTTTACTCAGGAGTTATTCCAACCGGCCTCCAGATATCCCCCGTTACGGCTTCGTGTCCTCTACACTTAGTGGCATAATGCAGATTTCATATTAGAAAAGCTCTTCAGTCACATGAAACACCTGTCATAAATGTTAACCAACATTAATTTTTTAATATACCAAAGGTGTTAACCTACATCAGTGTGTACAGCTAGAAATTGTTCCTTAAGATTTGTTTTCATTTTTTAAAGCTTTCATTCCCTTTTTAAAAAAACATCTCCATATAACAGTAATGTTTGATTTGCTCAGTCAGAGTCTTTGTCTCCTCTTCTGAAGTAAAACATAAAGAACTTGGCTTCTATACTATTTTCTCTCTTCCTAGGAGCTTTCGCGGTCCAGATGAAATATATAGTCTCTTTTCTTGAAATAGCTGACTCTCTTGGCTTGACCTACTTGATTTAAAATAATGCTAAGCTTTGTATTTTCTATGACTCTTTCCCCAAAGCTAAGTCCTGAAAAACTTGGAAAACTCTTCCCTTCATCTTTTCCTGGAAGTTTTAGGGACAGACAAATGTCTGTACTTCTTTCCTATCTATCCAAAGCTCATGATCATACTTAACAAATATTTCTGTGTCAACAGAAAACTATGAATATTTAAATGTCTTAAGTCTGAGGGTTTAGAGGAGACATGTTTTTGTGGCCTGAAAGTGCATGTGCAGCCCCTTTTCACCCAAATTCAAAAGAGTAAAGCAATAGAAAAAAATCATTTTTCCATTTTTTTCTAAGTTAATAACACATGGGCACACATTTCTGTAATACTTTGATCACAACCCTGTGATAAGTGTCAAAAATAAACTGAAGCTACAACCTCTTTCCTGGAGGAATTTTATGGGTACCATTCCTTTTAATAAAGAATATGCTGATGGTTGACCTTCTGGGGAAATGTTACATGTTCCCACTTTGAAGCTAGGAATTAACCTAGAAATACCTTTAGGAACTTGGTGAGTTAATGCTCCTGTAATTCTCTATTAATGAGAATATCTGACTGAATAGACTCTTCCTTTTTCTTAACTGTAAGATTCCAAGAGTTTTTAGATATCTTATTAAATTCACATTGTTTGGTAGGTTTATTTATCTTTGATTTGTCTCTAATACAGGGACCTCCTGGGAAACAAGGAGTGCAACAGACTCTTGGTGGATATTATAACAAGGTATGGCTTCTTTTGTTCACGTTTTATTCACAAAGATTTTATATGATTGTATTTTTCAAAAAAAACCAAACTTACAAATTCCTAACTGCTCAGATTTCTAAATATGAGCACATGGACTTAACATCTTTGCACACTGAAAATCTGTTTCAAAAAAAGTGTTTTGCTCAGCATCTTTTTACAAAAGCAAAATATTATCTTTATAAATAAAAAAATTGACTTCAAATTTCACAAAACTTCATGCAAAAAAATAATGCAAAAAACATGTTTCTCCATTGATCATGTCATCCATCTAGTTTATCTGAGGGCAAAAGGAATTATTTGCTACTTTTTGAACTCTGGGTCACACAATAGGTGATAGACCTCCTATCAAAACCTGTAGGCACTACACTAAAATCGCAAGCAAGTGTTTATATACCATAAGGCAAGACTGGAGAGTGCCCCAGCTTTCAGGGAGGAGCCACATTTAACTTCCCTAGGGTTTTTATGTTACAAGTAGGATGGATGGAATACAGACATGGGGGAGGTATCTGAGTGGCTACAGTCAAGCCAGCGTTGCACCCAGTTCTCCAGGGAAGCCCAACAGAGGGAGAAGAATGGGTGTTGGCACCAAAGAAGTAAGACTCAGAGACCCGTGGCCATTCATTGACTCATCAGATACTTGGGGTCTTATCACTTGGTGTGAGGCATTCTGTCCACTGACTAGGGTCCCTTATATACATAATAACTTATCACTGATGCATTGCTGGTGAGTAATTGGCTGCTGAAACACTCAGAGACACACCCCTTTATGTTTTTCTTACTTTCCATTTCTATGAAGTCCTCTGAGTACCGCTATTTCTCTCTGTTCAGAAACCCAAATAGACACCATGTGCCAGCAGAGGCCTTGAGGACAGCATGTGCTTAGAAAAGTTTATTAAATGATGAGCTAATTAAAAATCCCAATTCTTCTTTCACTGGATTAAGTTCAACATAAAGATCTGGATCACTTGTGGTTGGTAAATTTAAAGTCACATGTGTGGAAAGTTTGTTACGTTTCCTAAGCAATTCTATCTTAAAGTTTTCATTTCCTTATATCTTCCAGGGAGTATTATCATAGGAAGAATGTTTTGGGTATAGTTTATGATCCTTTATGAAACATTTTATGAGTAATTTGTATGAGCTTTTTGAAACATTAGGGCTTGGCACAAGTGAAAAAAATGTAAGGAAAGCATATCTAAAATTAATTGGTTCAAATACAGTGCTTTTCTGTAATGACACCTACTGTTACAAAATAAGATGTATCACAAATGCTTCAAAATAATGAGAGTGAGTTAGTTCGGATGCCATAGTGTCAGCTAGAAAAACTTTTAAAGAACACACTATATTGCTTTCACCTTGGTATAACATTTATCAAGTTGCTACTCAGCTCCTTAAATATTTGCTATCCCTTGCAAAACTTTTAAAGCTCATTTCTTTACAGGTCTCTCAACACTACTTCTGTGTAGAGCTTATCTTGCTGATGAATCAGTTTTCCTTCAAATGAAGATTTATGCAGCATTTATATTTCAGTCTAAAGTTGAGAATGTGTATTTTTAAACGTTAGGGTTCTATTTCCATAAAAGAAAAAGTGGCGGCTGACCAGAGCAGGCAAGTGGGGTGCCTTGCTAGCAGCAGAGCAGTCCTGTGACCTCAGCTACTGGCTCAGCTAGGAGAACCCCAGTTATCCTTACTACCATTTAGGACTGAGGCACCCAAGTACAGTCCACATGTGCTCAAAATGTGGCTTTGGAGCTGAGCATAACTGCTTAGATGGGAGAGACCATAGCTTGTCTTCTCCAAATGACGCATTATAACCACTTAGCCCCAGAAGGCTTTAGACCTACGTGGGAATTAATGGGAGGTATTTCCAGAACACTTTGCTCGGTCTCCTTCTGAGTGTACTCAGAACTAGCACACCAAGGTCCCAACAGGATGCACGGAGAAGGTGGGGCCCACCTTCCCAGTACATGACCTGTACTGACCCATGTTTCTGGATCATTGCCGCCTCATCCTCACCTTCAGCTTCACAAAGGAAAGGACCAAATGTGCCCCTTGAGTGAGATGCATGTTTTCTCTTAGCAGTGTCCTCACCCACCCCCACCTCCATCTGGTTTTGGGTGCTGACATTTCATTCTGCCATTCATTGCATGCCCGATGGTCTGGCTGTAGCAAATGAGAACAGAGAGAGGGGCGGGCACCATCAAAGCTCTCCTGGAGATGAAATAGTTGACCATGTATTGAGACATATAAAGTGGCGTTCCAAGGTTGGAATAGTCTTCCCCTTAAATTGGTGTTGATTCATGTAGTGTCTGCTCTCGAGTCCTGGGCCTCAGCTCCCAGCAGCTCCACCAGCCAGGCAGCCCGGGTTCTGCTGCTGCAGCGCCCACAGGAGGATGGGCAGCCTGCTCGGACACGTCCTTCCTGTTCTGAACTGTAGAGCCCGCGGTTCATTCCTTGCTCCGGAACCCTCTAAGGCAGAGGGGTTATCCTGGAGCCCCTGTTACAGGAGCTGGTCTTTCCCCCTATAATTTTTCCTAAGTCATCCGGAGGGAGGAGCTCAGCCATGAGAAACCGTCTCTCCTCACAGCACAAATCAAAAAGGAATGGGGGAGAAAAGAAGGAATTAAGAAACACAGAGAGACGAAGGAGTAAAATCAGGGAAGCTATATAGGCGCATGTGTATGTATTTTTGCCTGCCCACTAGAGGCTGCAAAGAATAAAAGGTAGAAGATTTCCCTCCATCACAAAAATAATTCACAAAACAGCTGCTCCCATTCTGTAAGATTGTGTGCAAGGAGGCGGCAATGCTGAGAATATTTTTCTCCTTAAGGAAAATCTGCCTATGATCCAGCAAACTGCTCGTCATTGTCTCCAGCTCTGGGGATTTTAATAAAAATTTGATAGGTTCTGTCAAGTGCTAAAGCCATCAGGCCCAGAGCCCCTTACAAGGCTCTAGATGGGGGAAGAAAAGTGTTATCTGTGGAGGCTGAGTACACAGATTCTACATCTGGTCTTGTTTTTAAAGCTGCACCTTGCAAACACGTGGGGGTGGTACCACACGTGGTCACACCTGGTGCCGTGGGCAGCCCGTCTCAGCTGCTAGAGGTGGACGCTGTGCCTCCCTGCAACCAGGGCTGGTGCTCACTTCTACAAATTGTTGATCCCCAAAACCCTATTTGCTAGCAAGATAATCTTTTTCCTTTTGAGTATCAAATCATAACTTCATTTCAGTATCCGCAAACTAGAAAAAACTGAAAACCTTTCTCCAAAATCAAATATTCAAGGTCTTTCCCAGCAGTGAATTAAACCCAATGATGATACAGAAAGTCAAGGCTTCCTCAGAGATTCTAGAGGCCACCCTTCTGGGCTCAAAGATTCAAAAACAGAATTTAAATCCTAACTTGCTGGCTCGCCCTTCCTCTGTCCCAGGATCCACTAGCTTTGGGGAACATCATGGACTTAGGCACAGATGTGTGGATTTTTTTATCTTGGTTTTATTACAGAGAACCCCCAACCCCTGGGTCCTCACCCTCCCCACCGTGGTTCACCACCAGTACTAGGCATAGAGCTGGTATAACATTTTCCTACAACTGAGAGGTTGGACTGTGTCTTGCCAGTGGGTTTCAGCCCTGGGCAAGTTCACTATGGATTCAGTGTGACCAAGAAAATGACAATAGAACATTCTTAGGGTGAAAGATTTTATACCCAACTTTATTAACACAGTGGCAGGTCAATCACTAGAATCCCATCCACTCAGAGCAAGTCTGCATGCAGCAAGCCCATCTTTGCCTCTGGGCCTCTCTACCCCTGCTGCCATCTCAGTCTCTGTCCTCAGCGCTGCCACCACTCCAGCCTCTGCTCTGCTCTCCTGCAGCCTTGCAGCTGTGCCACCGTGTCACCCAGAGCACTGGGTGGAGCTCTTTATGTAGAGTCAATAGCGACATATTGCCCACACGTGTGTAGTGAGTTAGCCGACCAGGGCCAGGTTTGAATCCTGGCCACAGGAACCTTCACTTTATCCACAGACTGAGACCCGGCCTGAAGTCTCATTTTCAAGTGAGTACAGCCCTCTTAGGTGTCATTAGATTTTAACTTCCTAAAGCTATTGTAACAAAACACCACAAACTGAGTGTCTTACCCATCAGAAGTTTACTGCCTCACAGCTCTGGAGGCTGACGTCCAAGCTGAAGGTGTCACAGGGCCATGTCTCCCTAAAAGCCCTAGAAAAGGGGTGTGTTCCAGGCCTTGCCCCTGGCTTCTGGAAGTCCCTTGCCTTGTGGTATCATAACCCCCGTCCTCACGGGGCATTCTCCCCGTGTGTCCAAATTCCTTTTTTGTAAGAACACAGTCATATTGAATTAAGGATCTACCCTATTCCAGTATGACATCATCCTAACTAACTACACCTGCGATCCATCTGATTTCTAAATTAGGTCATGTTCTGAAGTACAGCGGTTAGGACTTCAATGTAGGAATCGGGGGATAGGCAGAACACACGCACAATTCAGCCCATACCAGACAACCTGGTTCTTTTGAACTTTATGGATTTTATAGCAAGTTCCCCAAGGGCTAAGCCAAGAAATTTTTAATGACCCTATATTCTGGGGGGAGGTTCATATCCGTGGTCTCTTTTATTAGACTGAATCACAGGAAGTTGCTGATATTTGATTCTGTGGACCCTACAAAAATGGCCATCTCTTACAGTTCAACCTCTACATGCCAGATACCCTCCCCTCTTTCCAGAGAATACCCTCTCCAGGGCGCTGGGAATAGCTTGAGCCTTCCTGCGTGCTTGGCTCCAGGTTCCAGAGTTCCGTTCAGCATTTTCCACAAGAAAACTGAGAGCATTTTCCAACATCCCAGAATCCTTGAAATGGGCAGGCAGATCAGAACCCCACTGTCCCACCACCCTCACACTCCATAAGAATTTTCAAATAAAGGAATTCAAAACTGTGCCACTATTACATTTATTCAAAACACTTACAGAACCCATGCAAGTAACAACCAGAGTACAAAATGACCTGGTAAAATAAGAATAGCTTCTGAGGCAGAACCCCAGATTCCAGGAACACAAGGACTATGTCCTTGATTATTTCTATAGAGCCAACTAATCAGTGCAATTGGCTCGGAGGAATTAGAGAGGAGAATCTCACGTATCGGTGAATAAGTGTCACTGGAGTTCGAGTCTGCCTTGAGCATTGTTAGCCCTGGAGTGGGGAACAGCTCCATATACCACTAAGGATCTTTGTTTAGATGGATTTCCTGGCAAGCTGTTGAGTGAAGCAAAGATATAGTGCCCTGCTGGGCAGTAAGTGTCCCTGTCATTTTTCTGGGTGTAAAAGTCACTGGAAAATCAAGACTTTAGAACAACAGAGCCTAAGGATCGAATGATACGGCTGGAGCTGCAGAGGCTTCTCCTCATCCCAAGCACAGCATCTCTGACCCCCTGTAGGCTGTCGGGGGCTGAGATGGGAGTGGGATCTAAACCAAGATGCTACGCTGGAATGTGCTCCCACCAGACGCCCTCGTGCTCTTCTGTTATGAATCCAAGAGCGTGGGGCCTCCCAACCCAAAGACCATCTCTGGACAACTCATATCTAAGACCAAAGAGTGTTCCAGCTTTCCTGAAAATGTCCTAGCCTAGGCACAGCCAGGGAGAGACACCGATGGGCTGCATGCACTGATTGGCACCTTGCCCAGATGGCTAGTATTGTCAGAAGGTGCCTAAAATTTGTATTTTGTACAGGTTATATCCAACCTACCATTTGTAAACTGCTGATTCTTTGTGTGTATATGTCTTAGTTTAATGCCTCATTTTCTGATATGTCCTTGTAATAATTCATAGCTCAGGATTTTAAGAATATAATTTTTATTTTCAATTTAGACATCCAAGATCAAAGTAAGCAAAATGAGAGAGTGTCACAAGACCAGTAACAACAACCATTATTAACTACTTATTTTTAAATGAAATAGCATGAATAACAGGGAAGGCACATTCAAAATGTCAAACTATGGCAGCAGTCATCTGCATGGATGCCTCTTTGTATTTTTGTTGTTTAAATGCCTCTGTACTTTCAATTTTTTCTATGAACTGTGTATTTTTAATTTAAAAAAGACCCTAGTAGAAAGAACACGATTATCACTCTCCCACTTCTAGACTAAAGAATGTTAACAGTGTGATGTAATCCTCTCATCTTTTTCTCTCATATATGTATGTGTTTGTTGGTTTTCTTCTTTTAGTTCATTGTTGCATATGTGTCTTCTAGAATTTACTAGTGAGTACATCAGTTAGACTATTATGGGTCAAAACTCAGAGGTGAGATGTATGCTGGGTTTATAAATTTGTCTTTGCGTAGATGGTACCTGAGCCACGGGACTAAATAAAAAGTGGGAGAAAATGTTGAGTGACAGGATAAGAGAGCCTGGACCGAGCCCCGAGGACTCCCACCTTCACCAGTAGGTGAGGGGGGAGGAGGAGAGGTCAGGGAGGTGCCAGACAAGCCAGGACCCCAGAAAGTGCAGCCAAGGGCTCAGTTCATGGACCATCCACTACTATATATGACCAAAGATGTCACTAATGACAGGAGTGTCCTGTCAGTGGAGTGGCTGGGGATCCAGTGAGGTTGCCAGGCATTGATTCGCAGCAGTGACAGTTCTCCTCTGGAGGTGTGACGCTTCTCCAACAGTATCCCCTGGGGGAAGTCACAAAGATACACAGGGTCTCCAAAGCCGTTTCCCAAGTGTTGCATGGAAGGTAGGAGAGGCAAAAACAGTTACAAAAAATTGTTACAGTACCATTAACTATGTATATTTTTTAAGTAGGACTGAATGTATTCAAAATAAATGGACATTTAAATGTTTTCATTTGTTTTACATTCACCTAGGGAAATGTTGGTGAGCAGGAAGCTGGCAGCCCAAAGGGAGAGAAGGTAATCAGCATTTTTCAAGTGGATAAAAGTGCCCAGGGTTTTAGGCTGACTCACACTCACATGTTGGGGCAGCCCCACCACACGCGGGCTTCCATCCCTGGGGAGACCGGCCTGTGGAGGTCATGAGCCTCCCCGCCTCCTGACCTGGCAGCAAGTGGGATCTGCTCCTTGCTGAAGATGGCTGAGGAGCAGTTGGCTAGAAGGAAGGGAAAACATGAAGGGGAAGTGGCTGTTCCGAGGCAAATGAAATTAGGATACAAGCTTCAGTCTGTAATTCCTGAAACTGTGAGGTGGCAAAAACAATCCAAAGATCCCTTGGCAAAAAGTCTGAGGCTCTGCTCCCTGTCTTCGTGTATCCTTATGGGCTCAAACATTAGCTGCTGGGAGGGCATTTTTTTGGTGGGGTTTCATAATGTACAGTCATGGTATAATCAAGTCATTATTTCAAGACAGTTTTGAAATTAAAATGCTGATGAATTTCCATTGCATGCTTACTGTCATCCTTCACAGGTTTAATTGTATTACTGTGAAGATGACAGATTCACTTGCTCACTCAAAAGGGTGTTTCACTCTGATTTAATTCAGAAATTGTGACAGCCTTGGATTCAGTGTGAATGGACCACTGTCCGGAAAAAGCAATGCACATTGAACCTGCAGACAGAGATGAGCAGGTTTGAAAATACTCTGAGGGAATGTAGCCTGTGAGTGCTACCTTCATTCATTCACCCAGGAAAAATTCTCTTGATTGAGGGCAGAGTATTTCAACATGAATCCAAGAAAATATGACATCTGTGCCTTATAAACCAGTGCAAAAGATTATACATCCATCACCAGAAAATACTGCTAAAGGATAGTCTCAACAGAAGGTAGGAGCTTCTTGTAGATGAACCATTTAAAATGATGTTTTCTGCAAATCAATAAATAAAACTTCAACATTCTTAAAAAAGACATCCAAAAAAATACATACCATACAGCAATAATAAGTCATTTATGTATCTTAGATTGCACTGCTCATACATGAGCATTTCCTGTAACCAAATAGCTTACAGAATTCCGCCAGCACCATAGCGAACACATTACATTTTAAGCAATTACTACTGGACACATGCAGCCTAATGGGAAGAAAAAAGAAGCCACCAGGCTTGTCACATAGAACAGCTGAGCAAAGAAGAGAGTTGTGGGACTTATAAAGTATTTAAATGACGATTCATTTATTGAAACAAAACAGCTGGCTTCTTTGTTGCTATGTTCATTAGAAAACATATGTTACTTAGGAATTCTTAAGACCTCAATGACGAGAAATTTGATTCTGTAAAACAGGTGTATTTCAAACTTTACAGACCTTTTCTATTGCTCAATATCTTTTCTAATTGCTTCGGAATCTTAAGTGGAATTAGAAAAAAACAGCGGCATTATGGTTCCCTGCTTCCCTCCAAAGATATAAGCTAGAAGTGTCTACAGGGAACTTGATGCAGCACCTGATATAAATGTACATATGAAATGACTTGTAAGAATTCTAATTAAAAGGAGAAAGGCTCTGCTAATAAATAATGCATAAGATGAACTACAAAACATGAGCATAGCACCTGCTGGGAGAGTGAAGTCACCTCTCCCTACGCACACCCACGCAGTGTATGTTCTGAATCAATACATTAGTTTTTTTAAATTATAAGGCTGCTCACGGGTCATGATAGTGAGGACTTGAAGCTCCTTCGGGCTGCCCTCACCGCTCTTGACTGGCACCTTCAGCAGGCCTGGTGCTTCTGAACCCTGACTGCACATCAGAATCACCTCGAGAGCTCTTAGAAAATAACAGTACTCTGGCCCCATCCCCAGAGACTCTGTTTTGGGGAGCAGCCCATATCTGGTTGATCAGGGTGGAGTCCTTATCTCCATTATTTCAAAGTGCTTCCGATGATTCTAACAGGCAGTCAGTGCTGAGAACCGCTGAGTGGTGGAAAGAGCGTGAGCTTTGGGGTCAAAAACTGATTGTGCCACTAGCAGCTCTGTCTCCTTGGGAAAAATCACTCTTCTGAGTATGAGTTTCCTTATTCGTCAAATGGGCATGGTCTACACCAAGAGTTGCTGGCAGGATTACGATCAAGTGAGATGAAATGAATTTACCCAAAAGTACAGTCCCAGACACACGTGCAGCCCCCTGTAAAGAGTGGTTCCTGCCTATTCACCTGTCCCACGCTTTCCTTCTGCTCATGACTGTCATTTATCTCTTGTTGGCATTAATAGTCATCGCCGTACTTAACACCTTGCTCATCTTTCCATCTCCCACTATGATTTTTGACAGAGAATGGACTCAATTTATTTGTAGAATAAAAGATTTAACCAGAAGTAGGATTTTAACACATAATGATGTTTTGTCACTGCCATACACTCCATTACTTCGCAGGGCACTGACTGGCCAAATAGAATCACAAAACCGGCCCACCAATCAGAACCCAAAATCACGGTGAAGCTCCAGGACACACAGCAGCAGCGGTAGAATCCACACTCACGCCTGGTTTCCCAGCCCCATCCTGTTCTAGGAGCACCGAGTTGCAAGGAGAAACGTCAGGAACATTAATTAGTGGCCGTTGTGTAAATGGCAGCAGAGACCATGGCATCCACATGACCGGGCTACCAGTACTGAAATGACGGTCTCGGCTCTGTAGCTCGCCAGAGGCTGTTGGAATGTGGCAAAGAAATAATGTCTTTGAAAACTGGTTGGGGAGAACGGCTTCTTTGTAAAGTCTGCAGAAGGTGGCAGAATATCTAAGGACCCCTGAGAAATTAGCAGGTGTCTTGTGCTAATTTTGTGTCTTTTGTCAAAGGGAAAAGATAGAGCGTCCATAGTATCAGGCCTTCCAAACAGCAAAGGAAGTGTCAAAGGACAGCTTTTCCTGAAGCTACGTGAATTCATCACTTATCTTTCAACTCATATCCACAGGGACAAGTCACTGAACATCCATTTTTATTTTAAATATGAACAAAAATTCTGCAGGTGTCTAAGATTCAGATAAGAATTGCTTTTGTTTGCAAAATTTTATATGTGGGAGTTGTTCCCAAAGATTTCCTGTAAGCCCAGGCACACCCGAGTATCACCCAGAGAGCCGGACCGGAGGCCCCCTTGGGCCCTTCCTGCTCATTTCCGTGGAGACCTATTGACATCAGTTCAAATATTTAGCAGCTACAAATATAATTACTCATCCTCCACGCACATTCCCCTCCCCTTTCACCTTGGTACTGGGCAGATGTGATTTTTATAGTAATTTGTAGACCCCTCCCCTGATTTGTACTTTCATGTTTTGCAGATTGGTCTACTAGGCATATTTTTTCCATCACACCTGTGAATTGGGGGTTTTAGCACCTACCAGATGAGTAGAAAGGTCACTCTGAACACCCTAATACTCATACAAGGCCAATTATTTATTTCCTCTTTCAGACCAACAGTAATTTGTCCCTTAAATATATCCACCAATTTCTCCATTTTCTTACTTTGGATAGACTTTCTCTAAAATAAAAATGGCCTCTCTTACCATGTGGTGAGCATAAGACTGATGGTACACTAGATATTTGGATACTATAAGGAGAAATACTTATATTAATAAATCAAGACTAAATTTACAAAAATACATTGCACAAATCTAGGAGACCACTTAACAAAAACATGATCTCATCTATCCATTATATGCAACAACCTCCCTCTTTCTCTAGTCTAAAAATCACAAGGTAGTGAGGAGAATAGAAATGTCAAGTAAGCCAACATTTTTAAATGGTAATGGATTTGTACTTGAAGTACTTTGCCTAGACTGTGGTTTGAGGCTTCAGAATAAACAGGTAAACACATCCACATGAGGGAACAGCTATGGAGATGTTCCTTGCAGCCTTATTTATTAAAGGAAAAAGGTAGAGACCACCTAAATGCCCTTCAGTGGGGCTTGGCTAAGCCCTGGTACATTGCCATTATAAAATACCACCCAGGGGTTAATTGAATGAACTAGACCTATATGTATGAACAGGAATTGATATTAAAAGTGTTGAGTGAAATAAAAGTGACAGAATATATAAGACAAAGCTATTTATGAGACTTGTTTTAAATATTCAAATAATGTTTTGCTTATGATTCCACATATTCAGTAAAAGTGCAAAAATGTGGACTAAAATATAAGTACCAAATTCAAGAGAGTGACTCCCTCTGGGGCAGGAATAGGGAGGGAAACGTAGAAGATTTCTTCTTTGATTATAAATTCTTTTATTTCTTTCATTTCGGGGGCCTGGTACATGGAGGTTTGGTGTATTTGACTTTAGGTTTTCCGTATTTATTTTTTGAAATAAAAAATAGATGACAGCTAAGAATGGTATATGCCCAGAAACGCGATGGTGAGCATGGCTTTGCAAAACTGCTCTTCAAGTTGGGAATATACTCAACATTACGTAACTTCTAGTAGCTACAGTTAATTTAACAAGTGCGTGATATTCAAAGATTTTGGTAAACACTAAAAGTAGGTGAACTGCTGAGACTCCTCTGAAGTCTGATTAATGATATATTTCCTTTCCACAAGTATTATTTCTGTAAGTGCCATTTTCTCAAAATAATCTTTGTATGTCACATAAAAATCCCTCAAACTCTTTGACCAGGACATTTTAGACATGTCTAAGCTGTCGCTGTCACCACATCAACAAAAATGACTTATTTATCCATAGTCAATCATCTAAGTGACAATATAAATGCTGGAAACAGCTGAGAGTCTCATTTCTCCTCCAGCAGCTCACCATTCCTGCTCCCCCAACTGTAGAAAAGAAAGAAGTGTCTGAAATACAATACCTGGGTTATGGCGCCAGTTAAACTATCTGGTGCCTTTAGGACCACAAAAATTCTATTATTGGTACAGCAGGTCAAATGATAATTTTTTCTCCTCTAGATGTTCTTCCCTTGAAAAAGAATTAATTTTTGTTTCATACTGATTTTTTTGATGCTGTGGATTTCTGAGAGACCTAAAGGCATGGTGAAGCGCTGACCAATGCACTATTATGCAAACAGAGGTGGATGATAGTAGATAAATTATTCTGTGGTTAGAATGAGCACAAGCAGTCGCTGAGTCTGACAGTCACAACAGTGTTCATCTGACCTCATGCAAAATCTCTCTTGTTTTTTTTTTTTGAAAGGGTGAAACTGGACAACCAGGATTTCCAGGGCCCATTGGCCCTAAAGGTCAAAAAGGAGAACCTGTAAGTATTTTAGCTTTTAGGTCCAAGGAAGAATATCCAAAAAATAAAACTGAAAATATCTTTCCTAACCCACCCCAATTCTATGCACTCTGCCCCTGCCATGGCAAATAAGAATAGAGCAGATATTTGAACAAGCCCTGTATGTGAAGCACTAAGTCCTTTATGTGTATTAACTTCCTTAATCCATTTTTTAATGAGGTAGGCTGTTATCACCCCATTCTTCAGATGAGGAAACTGAGGCACAGAGAGGTTAAGTAACTTGTCCGAGGTCACCCAGCTAATAATTGTTGGAGCCATGAATCTCACATAGGTAGGCTGATTCTCAAATCCAGGGTTTAAGAATCCCTAAGCTGCACTGTTTAACTAAACATTATAGCTAAAATGAGTAATACGTTCAATATATCAAAAGACAGGGGCTAATGTTTCCAAAAAATTAGAAATATGTATCTATCTGCTCAAATAACTGCTCTCAGTATGCTTTCTAAAGTTATTTTTCCTTCTTGTTTTTTGTAAGATCAAAGTAGCTTCTCAAGCTACTTTTCAATATTACTGAGGCCAGTTTCTTTCAAAACTTAATTTTTGGTGGGGGGAGCAACCTACAGTATCATGAACCTAAAGAGGTGATGAATCCTAGTTACAAAAATAACTAGTTAAAGCTAAAAAACAACAACAACAACCCTTAAAGCAGCTCTTTGGAATCAGCAGGAATCAGACTTCACAAATGTTTAATCTTTGCTGAAAAAAATACTTTTAAAAAATCAGGTTTACCTCTTTCCACGGTGAGCAAGGGACGTGGCCTCACCAGGGGTAATGAATGAAGAGGTCACTGAAATGCCCTCATGCCGAACGGGGACAGTATAATAATAGTAAATATTATAAATTTTTCCTGCATTTCAAAAGTAGACGTCTCTAGCAGTGCCCGTGAGTTTTCAGGCAGCTTTAGAACCTGGTGTCACCCGCGTCCCCAAGCCCTCCTGCCTCCAGCCTCAGCTGCAGGAAGGACCGGGGCTCCCCCGCGGGGCGTTTCCAGGAATGTCCGGGGAACCCCTGGGCCCCACAAGCCCAGCCCGGCGGGCGCTGCGCCTTCCGTCTGCCGGGGCACCCCTGACGCCCCGCCCTCGGTGGCGCCTCTCGCCATCTCTTAATTGCTTCGTTATGTCTCCATGTCTCCCCTCCAAGCCTGAGCATGGACCCTCCTCCCTAATTTCCCTGGGACACATGGCGGGCCCAGCAGGGAGGTTTCCTGACATTCTGCTGGGACAGCTGGGGGCTGGAGGGCAGGAAAGAGAGGTTCCACCGGGACAGACGGCGCTTCTGGAACGGGACTGTGCCCGGGATCGCCGGGGGTCCTGGGGACCTTCCGGGAGGCTGACCCTAATTCCGGGGGTCTGGGGGGAGCGAGCGAGGCTGCGCTGCTCGGAAGCTCCCATGTGGCCTCCCTGCTGGTGGCCCGGGGACCACGCTTTGGGTAGCCAGGGCGGCGGGTGTCGCGGCTGCGAGGAGACTCCCTCCGGCTTTCTCTCCTGCCCCCATATGGGGGGCAGCCCGCCTGCCCCGCCGGGACCGCCTTTAGCCCTGCCTGCCTCACCCGGGGGAAGCAAGCTGCTCTTCTCTCAAGTCCTCTCCTTGCCAGTTACTTCTTGATCCTCTGAGTATCCTGCCTCCATTGCTCAGTGGTTCCCCTTCTCTGGGGGGCATACGTTCCATCCATTCCCCAGCGCAGGCCTGAAACCATGCACAGTACCAAACCCTCTATACACTATTTTTTTCCTGTACGTACATAACTACAATAAAAGCTTAATTTAGGCATAGTAAGAGATTAACAACTGATAATAAAATAGAACAATTGTGACAATAGACTGTAATAAAAGGTTCGTGAAAGTGGTCTCTTCCTCTCCCTAAGTACCTCACTGCCCTGGAGGCACGCTTCTTGTGGTGATGCGAGAGGAAATGCCCCCACGATGACACGGAGGGAGGCACTGCTGTTGCGCAGGGTCACTGTTGGCCTTCGGGAGATGAGTCAGGAGGAGGCTCATCTGTGGTTGACCCCGGGTAACTGAAACCCCCGGGAGAGAAATGGGGGTGAGGCCGACTGCTGTATGTGTTTGCCTGCCTTCCTCCCCACCCCCCAGCCCCATTTAAAACAAGCAACTTTTACATGATTATGCAGGGCGATTCAGCTCTGTGGTCTCAATCTTTCTATTTCAGAAGAGGATCTGGACTTGACTTTGCCTAATAGCCTGAAGGTCCAAAGAGAAAAATAGTTTTCATCCCAATCTGAATTCTGAACCACCTGTCCTGAGTGGCAGTTTGTCCCCGACTACAGACACTTAGAATATGACTAGATGTATATTGTATCAGGGCCAAAATATAATTCAGAGATCATCTGGTTAAAACCTATGACTTTTTAGATAAAGAGAGGTTCTGAAATGTCAGTGTTTTGACCCAGATAGTAGCCATCAGAGCCAGGACTAAATATCAGGTCTCTAGACAACCAAACCCCTGGTTTGATTTGGTTTTTAAAACAGTTACTTTTCCTCAGTGTGGTTCTAAATAAACAATGACACAGAAAATATGAGATAAGCAGAAATAAGCAGTTCTATCAGCGGTGTGGCCCATTGCTCATCCCTAATTTACACCATCTCCTATCTTAAAAAGCAAATTTAGAATTAAGGCTGAAAGACAAGGATATAAATACAACCTTGTTCTAATGTATAGAAGTTAACCAATGATAAGGGAATTAATCACGTTGGCTAGATAAGGGGCATATTAGTCAGGAAAAGTAACGAATTAACCCTGACATTTCTACGGCTTAACCCAAGAAATGTTATCCCTTGCTTACACAGCATGCCCAGTGTGGTTCCGTTTGGAGGGGTGGGTCCCTCACCTCACTGCACACAGTGGACCGGCTCATCAACCCTGGGGGGCTAAGGAATCTGGAGTCACCGGTAAAGGGAAGTGGGACTCAGGAGACACGAGGGGGTTCTTAGCCCCTCAGCCTGCAAGTAAACGTCTCTCCTGCTCATCCTGTATTGCTAAACCTGGCTGCGTGGACCCATATGAGTGCTAGGCAGCTGCGCAAGACGGGAGAGAAGGTCCGTACCCCACAGTTCCTCGCACATAACGTGTACAGTTTCAATATGAAAGCAGAGGCCCATTCTGTAGCCGCCCTAGTGGCTTGTAAGAGGAGGGCGGCCCCCGAGGGGAAGGGGGCTGTATTGTTTACTCTAATGATTCTCCCACTTTCTCTTGACTTTCATAATATGCAAAAGGAAATTTTTAAATATATGGTTTCCATCTTCCTGTCGATTTACTCAATACAAATAATAAACAAACCAAATTACAAATCAAATCAAAAAGGTTGAGCCTCCAAAGCCTGGCATTGAAGTCAGGCTGCCTGGCTTTAAATCCCAAAGGACCTCTTAAGGATTTGTGACCTCAGGGAAATCATTTAACTTCTCTGTGCCTCAGTTTTCTCATATGTAAATGTGTACTAATGGCAGCTACCTAGCGGACACATGAGGATTAACTATATTGATGTATGCAGAGTGATTAGAGCAGTGCTTTATGCAATATAAGAAATCAGTAAAGGCCAACTATTATTGTTTTATCTGCATAACTTTAAATTCTCTAATTTAATAAGTGTTGAGCACCAGAGATGCTATAGAGTCAAGATGATTTATATCCCTACACCCGCCGAGTTTATAGGCAAGATAAACAAGGAAACATAAAGCAGGCAAATGGTATTTTAGGGGAAATAACTCAGTTACTCAGAACCTTCTGGAGTCCCTTTCCTCATTCTTGAAATGGGACAGAATCTTCCTCATTGCGTTGCTGTGAGTAAATGAGGTTATGTACATGTAACTTTAAGAACAGGGGCAAATAAGAGAAAGCCTCTGTGTGTGTGTCTGAGTGTGTATCTTTGTGTGCTTGTGTCTGTGTGTGCCTACGTGTGTCTCTATATGTGTCTGTGTGTATGTGTGTGTGTGTGGTCATCTGTGAACTGTGCAGCAGGAACCTTTAGCACTGGGCAGCGTTCCAATTTGTGAGCCACTTGGGATTCTTGAAGTAGTATTAGAATGATGAACTTGTTGTTCATTTGGGACTATGGAAGGTTTTTTTGAATTAGTTCTCATGCGCACCCTTTAAGCTGTACAGGCAGGCTGTGTGCATCCTGATTATTTTAGAGGCTTGTTGCTGACGGAGATCCAAATTTGCCCTGCAGGATTTATCCATATTCTGGTTTGGAGAGTTTAATTCTAAGTGTTTCTAATTGATTCAGTTTTACCCATTTTCCTAGGGGGATCCTTTTACCAAAGGAGAAAAGGGAGATAGAGTAAGTAGATGTTTTCTCTCTCTCTTGGGCTTTCTACTTCATTGATTTCTTTCTCTCTGATTTCTGATATGTTTACTTTAGAGTCTAATAGATTTTATAAAATAAGGTCCCTGAGCATTTTGCTTTTTCTGTGAATTTTGACTCTCTTATTTTGATAAATGAGGACTTTTAAACGTTTGTAAGTTTGATCCTGTGATGACACTTTACCACTTGGCTTGGGTGATGTGTATTTTCTTTAACCCACTGCTATTTGTGGTTGGACTTGAATATTTTGAAAGATATCTATTGAGACTATCTAAGATACAAAATTAAGATACAAGATACAGTTTTTTCAGGAGTTCCATTAATGATACAAATTGAATTTATCAAACAGGATGATTCTACCAAAAGGATCAGTGATAAGTCATGGCAAATAAGAAAACAAACTCATTTCAGCCAATATTGTCCTCTCTTGTGTGACCTTCAGTTTTTTCTGTTTCTCTTTTATTAAGTACATGTACCTGATAGTAGAATCGCCATGACGTATCAACTTAAATTCTACCCTTTCTTTCCCGCTCATCTGAAGCTTTAATTCCCTGAGATGGAAGATTCACTAATAAATCATAACAATGTCAGCAAGTGATCGCTAATGAAACATGATGATTACAGTGTCAAAATTGACACTGGGAAAAAAGCTGCTATAAAGAAGAAAGAAAATGACAATCTGTTTATTAGCAATAAGGATTTTAAATCACATTTTAAAGTGAACCTCCCTTGACTTCATACTGTCTTCCGTAATTTCCTTTTCTATTGTATGTGAATGAGTGGGATACAGATGATTTAGGTATTAGAGGCCCTCACCTGAGCTTGAATGCAAGCTTACATATATGGTGATTATTTTATTTACAGGGAGAAGCTGGGATAATAGGATCACAGGGAATCAAGGTAACCTCCCGACATTCTTCAATTGCACTTCCAACCTAATAAGACTGTGAAAATTAAAGTACCCATTTCACTTTTCTTCCCACCCGTATGTGTTAGGGCGAACCTGGAGATCCTGGTCCCCCTGGCTTAATAGGAGGCCCAGGACTAAAGGTATATAAGAAATATCAGAGATAAATGAAGAAATAACATTGGAGTTAGAGCCATTTCTGTGTAAAACAAGGTGCTCTGGTGTGACACTCATTTTTTTCACAAGTGTTCTCAAGACTCTGTCATGTTTCCATGGCGATTTTCCTTCCATTGGCTGCATTTATCCCACATAGTCACTGTGCCTCTTGGTTCACAATAGGATTTTTTAACTCTTTTTCAGAGCATGTTCACAATAGCATCCCTAAAAGCTTTTACAGTAAACAGTGTGAACTGAATCTATGACCCTGAACTATATACTTAAAGAGAACAAGATTCAGGATTCGATTTTTAGCCAAAATCATGCAGCCCTGAGACGCCGGAGTTCCCCATGTGGGAACCTGCAGGAGGGACCAGCTGTTGGGAGGTGCGGGAGGGATAAATGTGATTTGCTTCTACCCATGGGTAAGGCAGGTACCCACGCCTCACCTGCTGGTGAGAACACACCCATTTAAATGAGAACCTCTTGAAACGATCTTTGTAAGCCCGAAGCACATTTCGGTATAATATGGAAAAGGTAGGGTGGCAGAAAGTCAGTCTTTCTACAGATAAAGGCCACGCCACATTGTACATATATTCAGGAACAATCCATTTATTTAAGCAAAGTTGAAGTATACATCGCCTTCTGTTTTAGGGTCAGCAAGGACCTGCAGGCTCTGTGGGACCCAGAGGACCACCAGGAGACACTGTACGTATAGCAGACACAGGTGTCTTTGATATTTGGCAATTAAATTGGGACTGAGTTGTGTCTTAAAGAATGTCAACATCTGTTCATGTGACTGAGTCACACCACATTTTCCAAAGATGTGGGTCATCTCTACCCCTGAAACTGATGGCCACTAGTGTCGGGGGCTGCCAGGAAGCTAGTACCTTCATATGTGCAGGTGAGGTCCTTTTGAATATCATCAGCTTAATAAATTGGCCTTTGGAACTACAGTTAACTAAATCATTATTGGGGAGATACTTGTCACTGGCGCACCAACAATAAAGAATTTCGGAAACATCAGAAGAAGTAAGGAAAAAGCATTTCCATCATGCATGACATTTGGTTCAATTCTCCATCCAAAAAAGACACCCCAAAGCTCCTGTTGTTTTCTTCCCAGAGTCTCCTGAAAAGGCAAGTCTTCTGCCTGAAAATAATTCTGTAATGCGGTTGGAGAAAGGTCCTCAGGTTGCATTATAACCCAGCTCTCTCACTAGTTTCTCCCAGTCTCACACACACACACATTGGTCTGGCACTTCCCAGGTGTAATCTGAAACCAGCCCCCGCACACGGAGGGCAGGGAGAGATGGAGAAAGAGGCAGACCACCCCAGACTGGTAAGAGGCAGGTTTAATATGCAAGTGAACTTACACACAAGGCTTGTCTTGGGCAACTGCAAGACAAGAGATCTCAGTACGCATGCACCAAATCTGAAAAGGTTTCGTAGAATCCTTAACTAGGTTCAGCACATACACTGTCCAGATGGTATCAATACCACATCAATATTTCAAGGCTATGTTCTTCAGCAGCCTCTGGGACCAGGCAAGGCAAGTGAAGCCAGCTTCCAAGGACAGGGGAGGGAATGGGACAAGCCTCCAGGTCCTGGGGTCCAGCTCACAGGTCATGTCTTCTCAAGGATGTTCCCCAACAACACCCACATGCACGCACACACACACACACAATCACACCCTTTAAATGCACTTTTTTCTATCCATTCTGCTTGGTAAGCCTTTTGTCCCAGGGACAAGCTCCCCAGCCTAGCCTTCTGACAACTTGGGAGCTGAGACCATTAGTCTTAACCATCAGTCCTCACTTAAGCAAAACAAGAAAAATTTCTGGACATAAGTTCTTGGAAACCAATCTCTGTCGCACCACGATTCCAGGACCCTCTCCACTGCTATGAGACTCTGTCCTTTTCCCATCCTCTTGGGAACAGCCCATGACCTTTGCTCTCTCCCTGCGCTCCCTGACTCAGCTTCCAGAGGCCGACCTTTCAGCTCATCTGGTCTACCTGACACTTTGAACACTCAGGGCATGGAGCAAAGTTTTTTGTTGTTCCCCCAAACCACTTGGTGAGCCGTCACAGGTGTCCCTAGTGGAGAGGTCTTACCAAAAAAGAGAAAATGCTTACAAAGAGAGAGGTGCAGCCACAGACACCTGGGAAGTGAGATCAGGTGATAGTAACAGGAGGTAAGAGAGAATAAAATCCGAAGGGGAAGAGCCGCTGTTGGGAACGCATAGTAAAACTTATTTTCGACTTACCCATTGTCCTCTGAATCATAAGATGCACCAGCCACCCTCCCCGATGCCTTCTTGGAGATGATATGGATGCAGATTTGGTTTAATTCTCCCTTATTTAGCTCTTTCCCATTACATCCACATTACTTCACTTGAAACAACAAGTCACGTGTTTTCTCTAAAGGTTTTCCGTCTCCTAGGCCAAAATCAATCCATCCCTGTAGTTTATTCATTAAAGATCTGTAATCCTGACAAAGATTCACAGACATACTATGATGATAACAGGTGTTCTGATTGCTCTCTCCCTTTCATTATGAATTCTCCAGGGATTGCCAGGAGAACACGGCGTCCCCGGGAAACCAGGTGTTAAAGGAGAAAAGGTACGGCTTCCGTCGCACTCACCTGTGTGTTAAGAGCTAGGTGGGGGGAAGAGAAGAGAATCCGAAGGAAGCTAGGGGAGCAGAAAGGCAGGACCAGGCTGCCCGGATGGTGCAGCGGATAGCCGGTCACTGAATTAGGTGTGAATGGTGTGTGTGAAGGGCCTCATTCTGGCACAGAAACACGATGTGGTAAAAGAAGTGACTTGGAGATGAAGCTCTCAGGACTCAGAAAGGCTGCTTCAGGCTCAGCTACTGCCTCTGGTAAAGACCTAAGAAGTCTCAGTCTCTCTGGTCCTGTTTCTTGGTGTCTACAGGGAAATAGGATATTAACGTTGAACCATTACTGGGGAATAACCTAAAGAAAACACAGAGATCATCTAAAGATCTTTATGAATAGAGGCCTGCTTGTGCATATATTTATATACATACATCATGATGCATAATGTAACATAACTCACTACAAATCCAAGCACATTTAAGGTGGCTGCAACAGTGCCTGGCGCTGAATGAGTGAATGAGAATGATGACTTCTTATGAGAGTCTTACTGAGATTGAGAAATTGAAACAAGGGAAACTAGCACCTCCACCCCTTTCCCCGTGAGCCTGAGTGATGAAGACCCTTCCCCTATTTTCCTCAGGGAGATCCAGGTGGGATGACAGGCCCTCCTGGGCTGCCAGGTGTGAAAGGTGAGGCTGGTCCTCCAGGGAAAAGCCTGCCAGGGAAGCCGGTAAGTACCTGCCGTTTACTAATACTTATCCTGAAACTCATCACTGAACCGTTGGTATGTTCCCAATATCAGATCACAAGGAAAAGAAATATCCATCTTATTGTTTAGATCAGAGGTCTAATGTCTTTGGAAATTTGATGCAAGCAAAGGGCTCTCTTCTAAGAAAATGCTCCTACACTCACTAGTTCACATACAATTTTGGAAGATTCATAGGCCCTCCCCAAATTTCTGGGAATCTATGGAACCTAGTAAGATACACTAGTTTTAAATGATAAGCCTTCCTAGGACACTATGCTAAAACAGAAGAACTGCCTGAAATTTCCCTTCCAGAAGCCCTACAGGTATGGCCATAGGCAGTCATTTCCAGAAAATGTCCTCATGTCCCAGGCTATTCCCAGGACATAGGAAACTGGACAGCTAGGAAATCTAAATAACCAATATTCCTATGTCACGTACCTTTTTTTTCTTATCCCCCTTGACCTTTATACTAATTAATAATAATAAATAGTTCTCAGGATCAGATGCCTCATTTTAAAGATGAAAACATCTTATCTTTTAAAGTAACTATTACAAAATCTATAACCTAGTGAAATTTGTATTTTCTGTTCCTTATTCTTTTACAGAAAAAGGTTTATTCAAGAAAGATGAAGCGCAGTGAAACACTTTGGTGTCGTGACTTCTAGGATGTTTTTAACCTTTTTAGAAAAATTAATATCTTCACCTTTCTTTTTCTTTTAGGGATTAGATGGAAATCCTGGAGCACCTGGTCCACGTGGGCCAAAGGTATAAAAATATGATAGATAATTTTAAAAGAATTAATATCTAAAAAAATACAGCCAGAAAATCCATGCCCCTTGAGCCCTGGAACTAACAGTTGCGTCTCAATGCACAGGGCGAAAGAGGACTTGCTGGCGTCCACGGACCCCCTGGTGAGAGAGGCCTCCCAGGGGCAGGAATGCCTGGCCGAACAGTAAGTGGAATGCAATCGAGTTTTTGAAACCCAGTTGATTCCAATACCATGAAAGAAAAATCCAGTGACAAATTTGAGCAGGAAGGAAAGAATAAAATGGTCAAAGGAGGAAGTACAAACACTCATCACAGGTAGAAAATTAATGGGCACTGAGGTGACATCACAGAGAAACACAGAGAAGGTGCTCACTGCCGGCCCAACACCCACTCGTTGTACATAGACTGATTCTGGTTAGAAGCAGTTGTTTAATGCTTTACTCCTCTATTTTATAGATTTAAAAATACAAATGAATGTTTGTAAAATTATAAGAATGCCTGATACTAGGTGATCATATATTATGTTTGTTTTTAACTAGAATAAAATATAAGTTAATATTTAAAGTGAATGGAGTACACATAAATGAGATCCCTAAACGATATCTTCAAAAGAAAGAATAGGTGTTTTTCACAGTTAAGACAAGGAATGGGCAGGTTTTTTTACATACTTTAACTATAAGGACAGCCTGATAATTAAGAGCACTTTATGTGTACTTGTTGACTAAATAGTGGTAAGAAAGAAAATTTTTATTTACTGTGAAAAAATGTAAAAGATTCTGGGACAAGAAAAGTGGAAACAAATGCTTACTCTAATGATATTAATTCGGGAAATTGGCCTTGTAGTGAAGTTATCATGAAAGCTAAAAGGTGTGAAGAAGGAATGGCTATGTTGTGTGGGTGTTTGATTTTCCAGGACAAGAATATAAAAGACCATTGGAGATGGTAAAAAAAAAAAAAAAAAATATTGGGAAGTTATTAGGTCTGTGAGCAAGGTGGAAGCCAAACAAAACAACAACAACAATAAAAAATACCTTTACACAGTATAAACAGAAGGGGAGCAAGAAGTAGCTTTGATAATAACAGTGATGCATTTATTTTTAAAAATAGGAAAGGAACCATTACTGAAGTCAGCCGCTGGGAAACCAACTCTTTGCTGGCTTGCCAATTCCTGGTTTAGTGTCCACGCTTAGGTCACAGGCACAGAGCTGGGGTCACTAGGTTCACCAGTAATCCCCCAGCCTCATTTTAGTTACCCCCAATTCCAATTTGCTAAAATAGGAAAGGATAACTGATGGGTGTTTTAGTCCCTACACCTGTGACTGGCTCCAGCAATTTCATCAAAAAGAGAAATGAGGCAGAGAGGGAAGCAGCAAGGAAAGGCGGCCCCGAGCCAGGTGACCCGAGCCCAGCCAGTTGCTGAACAGATGTTAGACGTGGAGTCTGTGCTTTCGTGGAGGGACAGGCCAGATGGTACTCAGGAGACATCCCAGACATCTGAGCGAAACCACACTCATGTTTCTAGCAATGAGCGTCTGCCTAAGTGTTTACTGTCCCCAAAAGTCTTGGCTGACTTGGCGGAGCATTTTCAGGGTGTGCATGGTGGCAAGCCCTGTCGCTCCACTAAGGAAATCACAATACTTCGCCCTTAATAACACTTGGGTAACTTACGGACATTCCTGGCGGAATTCTGATAATTGGACCTCATTCTCCTCAGGGCCCCCAAGGACCAGCTGGAGCGCCAGGTATGCAGGTAAGCTACTTAACCAAGTTATTTGGCACAGCAAATCCGGCTTGCTTACTTGGGGGAGATTACTGAAAGCTTGTCCTCGTAAGTGACTCATCTCCCCCTCTCCCAGGGTCCTCGAGGTCTCCCTGGATTGCCAGGAGCTCCGGGCACTCCGGGGACCGAGGTAAGGACCAGTTTTACCTTCTCCTCCCCACATCCCCCACCCCCATTTTAATCTGCACCTGTGCCACTGTGCAAAGACTTGAAGGTGATGCTTCTGTTTTCAGGGACCCCCAGGAAGGGATGGAAAGCCAGGTCTGCCAGGCCCCCCAGGTGACCCGGTATGTCAGAAGACCATTTCTGATTTGTCTGTCTTTAATGCACCCAGAAGCCAAACAGCCTACCAAGCAAATGTGGCTGTCCAGACTAACTGGAAGGCTCAGTGACTGCTTGGTGATTTTGTTTATCCCCCCCATTATTTTGCAGAGGGGAAATAATTAAAGCTGTGTCAGCATCTTTTTATGTGTGGCGAACACTTATTTCCTAAGGGTATAATGCAGCTGTACGATTTTGCCCCTGGCTGATCCTTGGCATATAATGTCTCACTCCCATGGAAAATGGAGTTAAAAATATATAGCCACAATTTCTGTTCTTTCTAATGCTTGTGACTAAATGAATTTCATTTTTCTAAATGAAAGTTTGCAGATAAGTTAGCTACAGTGTGATATATATTCTTTGGTTCTGTGGCTTTAAAAGGCTGAAAAGCTTCAATTACAAAAACTGGCTTGTATAGGCTCTTAAAAAATGGGTTTAGGAACTAAATGTGTGTTCCAAAGTTTGATTTTAGGTTAAACCTTGCTTTGAGCGACAGTGAAATCCCTTTAAATTGCTTCAGACTCTGCAGTTATAATTTGAGAGGCCCATGGTACATGACATTGTACTAAGAGTTCTATATAATAAAACCAAAATCTGGCTTCTCAGTTCTAAACCTCACAAATCTTTCTCCCTCCCACACTGGTTGGGTTTTATAAACTATGTGCAGAGGCATATTTTGGCCTTAATTTAGCTACACTGTGGAGTGAATCATGTGGGCATCATCTGGGAATCTTGTGAAGCATTACCTAGGTTTACAGTGTCTCTTTGACATTTTAAAACATGAGTCCAAAACTCCCCTCAGCATCTATTTGGCCATCCTTTAAGCCACCACAGGCTCTTCTGAACTTCAGTAAGAGAAGACCTTAGGGCAAATCCATCTTGTACTTCTCTTATTTCTCAACAGCCTGATAATTTGCTTGGCAGAGGAATGATTTCCTTTTAATAAATGATTTACCTTTATGTATTATTTAAAACCACTTGCACATTAGGTTGGCAGAAAGGTTACAGTGTCATAAAATCTGAAATTGAGATGCAAAATCAAAACAACGCTATGTGTGTGTTTGTGTGTTCATCACAGTAGAGGAATAATGACTGTTTCTCAAACGTCAGTATGATTCTGTCAGTGCCATGTGTCCATTTCTTGACAGAAACATTATGTTAAGCCAACCATTCTAATAGTGATGTTCTTAGGAGCCCCATGGCAAATCTCAAGCGACACGGTCTTTCAAGGAAAATTATCACATCGTATTATGTGTTTGTGTTGTATTGTGTGCATGTATGTGTACAAATACATGTATTTGTTTTTTCCCCTGAACCACAGATTGCACTTCCTCTCTTGGGAGACATCGGTGTCTTGCTCAAGGTACTCTGTTGCTATGTAAGAAATTATGTGTTAGTTTCTAGGAAAAGTCCGAAAGGAAATCTTTACCAGAAATTGAGTTAATTTTGTAGCCTGAACTAAAATTCAATTTTTAAGTAGCAGAACATCCTTTTAGAAAAATGAACCCATATCTTTGTGAATCCTGTACTGCATATATTAATCCTTCCTCTCTCGTCTTCTCTACCTCCCTCTCATTTTGGGTGTCGAGGAGCTGGGCCGGGAGATGTTAGCTTTGAGATGAGCTGCAGGGAAGGAATAGTGTCCTTAGCTCACCATTGTGAAACCTAATACTTCTCACTGTGTCTGCCCTGGCCAGTCCCAGGAAGAAAACCAGTGGTGTTCAATAAACGGCTAACTTGCAAGGCTGCGTTTTGATGTCATGGGAGTTTACAAAATGAGCTACAAAATTCCAAAGCCACAATTTCCCTAATACCTGTTACTCTACTAAATATAAGCTATCTCTACCTATTATGCATCTCATAGGGAATAAGTCTTGCTACCATTTCTTCTCTAATACTTCCCTGTATTTTATTTGTAAAACAGATGGGAGAGAATGATAATAGGATAGTTACAAGATTGTGTATCCACATGTTTATTTGTGGTATGCTAAGATTAGGTGAACCCAGACTGTTCATTTACTCAAACCTTATGTGTCTTATGTCTATGTATGAATAGACAGTATATATGTGTATACCCATGCATATAAATACACGCACCGTTGGACTATATGTGTGTATATGTGATTTATTTTATATTTCTTGCATATAGCTCAACAGTTTGAGCAGTAACTTACATAGTAGTATACAGGTAGGAATATTTGTTAAATTGAATTCAAAAGACTCAAGAATTCTAGTATATGTATTTGTTAGGTGATTAAAGTTTTGAGACTAGATATATAAATATAAATGTAGATATGAATATAAATATAAAATTATATTAGAGGGACTTTTAAGACCTGCAAAAGCCAACATTTGCTTATAAGTCAGAAAGGAATACTTATGGGTGCTTCAGGAAGAGCTTATATTCACTGAGCTACAATTCTATGCCAAGCAATGTGCTGCTTACTTATATCGTCTCACTTAATCTTCACAATAATCCCGTGAGCTGAGGCTATGATACTATCTCCAGTCTGTAGATGAGAGACTGAAGTTCCGAGCAGTAAGCAACTTGCGTGGAGTTGCAAAGCTAGTGTGTTATTAACATAGAACACAGGTCCTCCGACATTGTCCTAGGTTCATTTATAAGGGCAGTAGTGTAGGAAATGATCGGACTGTAAGAGTTACACCATCCCAGAATCAGTAGGGTTCTTTAAGGGTCAGAAATGCATGCACTTAAACAGACGTGACTATCCTGAGAGAATATGGTGTGGCTCACGGGGTAGTCGAGAAGCCTGAACAGCTGTGACGAGGAGAGAAGCCAGGCTCCAGGGTCTCAGGGCGGAAGATTGACAGCTTCCCCGGGGCGGCATCCCTGTAGTGTCCCATGTCCACATCCTCTCGCTGAGATCTGAGACGCAGAGGGGCTGCCTGCTGAGAGCTGGGCAGGACACTCGACTGATAGTCCCCAAAAACCATATTCAGTAGAAGGAGGAAGCATGTAGTTCCCCAAAGCAAAGTCTAAAAACAGGGATTTAGATTGGGGATTGGATCTACTAGGCCAACCTAATAATGTAATTTTTAATACTGATCCTGTTACCCAACACGTTAACTCTCTCTCCCTGTCTTGAGTCTTTAGAAAACTTGATCATCCTGCTTTCTGCTATCAAAAATATCTTTAATTAAAGTGTGGCAAGGGACTGACATAATCCCAGGCCCAAATGATATCCCTTCAAGGACCTTCCTGTAGGTTGATCTGTGAGTCAAACCCTCTTTGAACAACACTGTACATTGGCCAATAACTTATGCATCTTCGTTCTCTCCATAAGAAAATCTTAAGATGTTTTTTCAAGAACCTTAATGAAATCCACTTTCCCTTAGTTTACCATTATGATAACCCTGACCTTGTTTTCTTTAGGTTTCTAATGGGCTCATAATGACTGACAACTTTTTTAATGCTTTGTGAAAACTATCAGTTGAGTAAGCCATTCTAAAATGTTGCTCTATGTTGACATGCCATACGTATTTGTCTACAGATACAATAATTCATTTTCTTCATACTTATTGAAATATGGAAACCTTTTTGGTTCTCTTAGTCCTCAGGCTTCTCTCTCTCTCTCTCTGCATAGTTTTTCAGATTCTTCAGATATCCTAAGCTGCGTTTCTACAATTATATATATGTATTTCTTAATACATATAGTTTGGGATCCATTGCACACACCAGCCGCCTTCTCTGCATCCCAGCTCTAAGAGGCCCCGCCGTGAAGAGTGTGCTCTTTAACCCAGCGTTTTTTAGACAAACTGCCTCAGAACCTTTTCAGTACCACACAAAATTAGCCCTCCAAGGAGCCTATTTTTGGATCAGACTTAGCTGGTATTCCATGGGGCCAAAACGCTGAACTTGAATAGCCATGGGCTTTCAACTAACTTCTCAGCCCCCTTTCCTGTCTACAGCTTCTTCCCTTTGGGGAAAAGGATGGAAGAACAGAGGCTTATATTGTCCCACCCGTCTGTCAACTGTTAAAATTAAACTGTCTCCCCTGTTCAGTGGTCCCTATTCTATGCCTTTCCTGATCATATTCGTATTCTAACAATTTATTTAAAAATGAGCTTTTAGAGAGCTTTTCACACACAGTTTTTCTTCAGCAGTGTGATAAGAAGTTTATCTTGTGAGCTCAGACACTTAAATTCAAGCGTTTCCAGATCAACTAAAGGTTCCAGAGAAGGCAGTGGAAAGGGGATTCTATTAGATTTCCTGTCTGCACTTGGGTTTGAAGTCAAGTCCAAGTCACTCAAGCAATTATTTTTCATATGAGTGCCTCCCCTGACAAATAAAATGTCGGTAAACTGTGTATGGGGTTCTCCAACTAATTTTGTTCTCAAAACAAGAAATCCTTCTTTCTCAGCTTTTCGCCCCTTGCTTTCTTTTTCATGCCTGCTGCTATTGGTCGTATGAGCTCTGTAATCTTCTGGTTATTCCAAACTTTTTTACCACCTCCCTCTTAAAACACGCTGCTAAGCTTTTGAAACTCTGGCTGTGTTCTTGACTGAGGCATCATTTCCTTATTTATTTGGGATTTTCCATTTAAATATCACCATACATGCTTTTTTCTTTTAATCGAAGCTCACCAATATCATCAACAGGTAGCGCTGACTAGTGTCATAACGTAGTTTTTAATGTCACAACGGGTAGTCTTTTCGGGCTGGATAAGCTCAGTGTCTGGGAGTAGTTAGTGCCCTAAGACGCACAGGTTCTCGGAGGAAGGTTCAGACAGGACCTCGAATCTGCTCAAACCTTGCCTGTATAGGCTACTTGGGTGACTCTTTCAGTGACCTTATGTTCATATTCACCAGAACTTCTGTGGCAACTGCCAAGCCAGTGTCCCCGGGCTGAAGAGCAACAAAGGAGAGGAAGGTGGCACTGGCGACCCTGGGAAGCATGATTCCAGCGCCGGGAAGGTGAGGAGGGAGCCGAGGGGTGGCGGCCCCGGGGGGTCACCCGTGGCGCCTCCCTCACGTCGGTCACTGCTCTGTCCTCTAGGGCGACGCGGGGCCGCGGGGCCCTCCGGGAACCCCAGGCAGAGAGGGACCCAAGGTATGCCGTCTCTCCTCCCTCCTCCGGGCTACGTGCGTTCAGTTCAGCGTGAAACAAGGAAATCCATTTTAAAATACACTACTTTTTATAAACATATTCCGGAAAAGTGGTGTAAAAGCCATTTGCAAATGTCATGTATCTGTTGCCTGACTCTGTCCAAATCACATCCCTGAATTGCATGCCCCAAGTGGGAAGGGATCTTGTCGTTGTTCGGAAAGATGACAAAATGACTGAGTGCACTCGCCGAACTTACTGCCTTTTTAGGGAAGCAAAGGAGAGCGCGGCTACCCGGGGATTCCTGGGGACAGAGGCGACGAGGTAAGAGACGCTTCTCCCGTAACGCGGCCCTCCTGTCCATCTTTCTGTGACTCAGCAGAGGAAGAACACTGGTTTTTCTGCAGCTCGTGTGTAGTGCTGGACCAAATTAAAACAAGACTTTAGTGTTTTCCAAAGGTTCACACATTTTAAATAATATATTGATGTTTATTACCGGCGGTCTGGTTTTTGAAACAAGAAAATTAAAGCACAAAGTGAACATGTCAGTTAATATGTTTCTGTTTTCTTGGAGCAGATAACAAGTCCAGTTCTCTCATGGTCAAAACAAGGAGAGAAATATTGAAAAGAAGCCCAGCGTGGCTGGGAGGGGTGGCTTAGTGCTGGAACAACCAGCCTGGGGCTCAGGGCAGCTCCGCTGAACTGCCCTGGGACGCCACTCCAACCCAGTCTCAGGGCCTTTGCTTTGTCAGTGTCTCTGCTCACCTTTCAAACTCTTGGAAGAAAAAATGTAATTAAAAGGATCTGATTGGACTAATTCAGATCCGCTGACATCTAAGGTTCAAAGTCAAATGTCTTTTGAGGCAATGGTATAATTTTCTGACTCTAAGCCATGGCGATGCCCAGGATAGAGTTCTTTTCTGCATAATTCACATTAACTCTTAGAAAAACCAATTAGGATGATGAACTGTTGTTAGTTTAAACAGTTTTGATAAGTGAAAGTAAGTAAGCCATCTGGCATATATTAACCTTGATGTTAGGGCAGGAAATCGTAACAGTATAAAGGGGATCTACCCTTTGAGTGGGCGTTATATTGAAATAGTACGTTACAAATTACCATCATGTTATTGTTTTTAATATTGATTCTATTCTAGAAAATTGTGCGGATTGGCTTGGTGTTTTTCCAAGTTAAAAATTCAACAAAGAGATATGACATTTATTTTTATCCATAAATTAAACAGTTAAGGTATTTTATTTTCAAAATAAGTTATTGAGCTTTGCTTCTTCTTGCTCCACAGAAAGTTTCACTCAAGTTCAAGTACAATATCTGATTTTATAGTCTAATAGCTTTTAAGGGCCTCAATTCAAGAAGTAGGCTTTAAAAGCAATTGAGAAGGTAATAACAAAAGATCAGGAAATTGGAATTCAGGTGTTTTATAAGTGACTCCAAGTTAAATTTATTGGAAGTAAGTTTTTATTGATCCTGCAGGACATCTTACCCTCCTGGTGAACTGAAGCCTACAGTTACTGTTGCCCCAGGATTTCTTGGTGCTCTTTCTGAAGTAGGGAGTCTCTCCGTATCCATGGAGATACATTCTAAGACCCCCGGTGGATACCTGAAACTGAGGATAGTACCAAAACAAACCATATAGATACTGTGTTTCTTTCTATTCATACATACCTATAATAAAGTTTAATTTGTAAATTAGACACAGTAAGAGATTAACAAGAATAATTGAATAGAACAATGACAACAAATTGTTATAAAAGTTATGTGAATATGGTCTCTCTTTCTCTTTCTCAAAATATCTTATTGGACTGTCCTCACTGTTCTTATGATGACATGAGATGATAAGATGCCTGTGTGATGAGATGACATGAGGTGAATGACGCAGGCATGGTGACCGAGCTGTAGGTGACTGCTGACCTCCTGACATGTCAGAAGGAGGGTCAGCTGCCTCAGACTGCTGTGGACCATGGCTAACTGAAACCACAAGGGTTAAACCACAGATAAGGGGGGAACACTGTACACCTTACCAATTCTTTCACACTGTATACACAAAATTTTGCACAAGATCCTTATTATATGGGGAATTCCAGCAAGTTCAGAAGGAGATTCTCTTCAGTTACTTGAATAATGTGAATAAACCTGAAGTAATACACTAGCTCAGTTAGGTCTTTCGAGGGGGTCACATGGAGGTGGATGTCATCTTGATTTCTACTAGGACTCAGAGGCTACCTGAAATTATAATTTATTGATTTGAATAAATGAAACTTTGACTAAGAACATATTCCCAACTGGCCAATAAACTCTGTATTTTAATATATACATAATATCTAATCATACAAAATCTCAAATGTCCTACTCTTAGTGGAAATGATATAGAGGGACATCCCATCTCTTTGAGGACTTCTAAAAACTATGTCCTCAGTTTAATCTATTTGGGAACTAAGAGGAACTACCTGTTCATTACGCTTAGAAAAGTGATATCTTCTACATTTTTTGTAACTGTTTCACACTCAACAAAGCAACTTATAAGACACTGAACAAGATTCACCTGTCATAGAGTGAATTCTTGCTTGGAATGCAGGTCTTCCCTTTATCATTTCAGGAAAATAATTGATAAATAGGACATGAAAAAAAACTGTGAGCCATAAATTATAACAATGAAAAAATAAATATTCTTGATAGCAACTGAGCTAGGGCTTTCAAATCAAAATATGAGACCAGGGAAAAACTTAAGTCTGGTGATCCCTGAGTGTCTATGCAATAAATTTTAATTTGTATTTTAGTTTGGCACTATATGCTAAATTGCCTGCTCTGCTCTTTAATATGTATGTCTTCTTTAATGACCAGCTTGTCTTCTAAAATTATCTTACTGCCCTTTATGCAACCATAGTAACTTTTACACTTACTACAAAACTTCAGCTTCTTCAGAGAAAGACTGCTGAGAGTGATATTTTTTTATTTATAGACTGAGGTTTATTTTAAAGTTTAATGTGGTTATCAAAGGTTAAAGAGTCCCAAGCTTATAAATTAGACTACCTAAAGACTCACTCAGCATTCTTTAGACTGATTCAGTGTTGGAGACTAAAAGTAGCAAAAAAAAAGAAAAAAGTATGTATACGTGTATCTTACACATGTACATATAGAGAGAATTTTATGGAAATGTGGGTATTCAGAAATAAAGCAGTTTGTGGGATCACAATTGTAATCTACAGTCATTTAGAGGTGCTATTCCCGAAGGAAATTTATTTTCTTTACACTTATAAACCACGAACATGTTAAGGGTGAGGAAATAAAAAGACTCAATGCAATAGGATGTGCACTGTCCGCATGTATGCATATGTGCTTTCACACAATGCACACACAGCACTGCCAATGAGGATGTTGTCTTGAAGAAATAATACATCCCCATTCCTTAACACCAGCATACTAAAATTTTACCCAAGACCTATTACATGAGGAATTTAGCATATTCAAGATTCTTTTCAGTGTTTCTTCATATTATGTCACATGAAAAATCCTAAAGTAGCATATGATTCCATTTGACTTTAGATGCACAGGCCTGGCAGAGCTCGGTCCTTGATCCCATTGATGCACAGAACCTTTATCCTCTAGATCCTTGGTTCTATAGAACCCTTGTAAATAAATATGCAGTAATTTTACCATTGGTCACATCACCTAATATTTATAATGTGTATAAAAGTGCACATTTCATCACAGTAAAAGGCAAAGGAATTTTATTACAACAATGAATCCTCTGGCAATAGAAAACGACTTACCCAATGAAGACAATTAAATCCTGAATGAGTGGAACCCTTGAATCTAGACCTTGATACATAGTATGGTTATCTGAACTAACAAGAGTATATAAAAGTACCTAAATTATTCTGATCATAGAAGTCATCTGAATCCATTATAGAAACTTTGGGAAATACACAAAAGCAGAAAAACATAAAAGTTATCCTTACTTTCACTGCTTGGGGTGGGGGAGGTTGTTGATCATAGTAATATTATGGTTCACAACCCCTCATCTATAATTCCAAAGCTCAAAAGCCTCTGAAAACCCTAGAAAGTTTTTACAGGTTTGCACCAAATTCATTTGGCAGCAAAATCTGACTTGAACTTATGGAGCTGGTCTACATATCCTATTTGGTGAGAATATTATATGTTTAGCTACAGAAATAGTTGTGTTTGTTAGAGGGTCCCACATGCCACTGGGAGCATTACAGAAAATCCAGTATTATCACTGTGCTATCTTTGTAAAAAATCTGAAAATTCAGTATTCTGAAATACATCTGACAGCAATATTTCCTGATAAGGCACTGTGAACCTCTGTCATTCTCTTCTGTTATGAGACACATTTACCATTTCTTAATAATTTGGACCTTACTCTGCATAACATTTTGCAAACTTTATTTTTCCATGTTATCCAATAGTTTGCTAAACATGATTTTAATCATTGCAAACTATTTCATAGTATGGATTTTAAATAACTTAACAGATATTCTGTTGCTGGCACACTTAGTAAAGGAACAAGACTAATTGCACAAGTTACCAGTTAATCTTGCCAGTTCTTTCTTGAATATATAAATGTAGCAGCCAGCATAGCATCTTCCACCCTATCCAGTATATTTAGCATTATTGTATGAATCCAAGGAGGAGAGGGAAGGGATAGCCATTCACTTTTATGCCTAAGCCATTAAATGGGGTTCTAAATTCAAATTCATTGGTGAGCCAAATTTCATATTATAATGAATTGGCCAGCTAAACTAAATATTATATCATAAAACATATTCCATTCTTTCACAAGCTGAATGAAGCATTAGTGTTATCATGTATTTCATTGATGGCATTCTGCCAGTCTGAAATTTGTATTTCCATGCTTTAGCTATGCAGGATTCTCAGTGATGCTATTGTTAATGGGGTGGCTCTATGAGATCAGAAATGCTCTATGAATCACCAAACACATTAAGTTATGTTTGTTACAGATTCCATGTCATGGCATTTTGGCTCGCCATTCTTATCTTTGAAAATGGGATATAGGACATATATCATGTTTCTCTATTAACCAATGGAGATGTTTAACTTTCAATTGTGAAAATAGTTGATGAACTAAAATGCCTCGTTTCCAGTGATATAATAGATTTTATGACAGAGACTGTCTCTTCCAGGGTCTTCAAGGAATTCCAGGCACTCCAGGTGCTCCAGGCCCAACTGGACCGCCGGTAAGTATTTGCTAACACAGTCCCGCTCCCAGTTCACACCTGCTGGGATGATGCTAGTTGAACTAATACTCCACTGCCTTTTGCTCTCTGTGCCTCGGTGTAGACGGCCCAGCTGCTCCTAGAGAGGCAGCAGCCAGCACCCCAGGTTTTCAGGTCACGTTATGTAAGGTCGCTCAGGATCACGCAGACTTGGCCAGACCAGAAAGCAGTCTATATTAATCTGGTCTATTTGAACAGAAGTGGCATGTAAAAGCGCATTTTACTTTTTAGTTATAATTTTTGGGCGTTAACCTTCGGAAGCAATTTTCAGATGGTTGCACCATTACCCTCTTAAGCTCCAGAAACTAAGAATTTATTTTCTAGAGGGAAAAATGGCTCAAGAATTCTGAGATTCAGTTTGTTTTTATTCCTATCATAAATTTAAATACCCTCCACTTTAACCAGCACTCTTTTTTTTTTCTGCTCCTCAAATAACATCAAGGCATTTGTATCTTTGGTTAGACTGTTGTCCTAAGACACAATCCCTTTTTCTTTCCCACCTGCTAAACCTAACCTCTCATTAAAGTGGAGCTCAAGTCTAGGGCTGCCAGTTAAAATTCGGGACAGCAGTTCACAGTTTGAATTTCATATAAACAAATGATTTTTAGCATTAAGTTTGTCCCAAATAATATATCTTTATTTGCTAAATGTAGCCATCCAACTCAAGTCTCAATTCTCCAGCTCTTCCCATCTTAAAATTCCTAAGCAAATGGTATTTACCACACAAATAGAAGTGGAATCATATTCCTTAATGTTTTGAATCATAGATTCCTCACAATTAAAATGTTATCATTTATGCTTTCACCACAGTTACGTAGAACAAACCTGGCTTTAAACTGTAGACTGAAACTAAAAGCTAAGAGAGTTGTGAAAGGAACTATGAAAATTATAGCTAAATCTATTCTCAAAGAAAAATTAACATTAAATTTTATTTTCCACTGGTAAAATGCAGATCTTGTAACTTAATATGCATTGTTAATTCTGCTGTATCCTGAAGTATTTAAAATGTTGATCGCTACCAACATTATAGCTCATTTAGGAAGGCATCACGTTATGTAAATTGCCATTTAAACAGTAAGGTTAAATTCCTGAATGTATCAAAGGTTCCAATTAAGGTCATTAAATGTGGTCCACCAAGGTGAAAAAGCCACCACACATACACATTTTACCCTTGCAAGAGTTATCAGCAGGATACAGCTGCTGAATCCACCTGAAGAACTGTAAGCTTGCAGGACTGATTTCATTAGGATCCAGTGACCTTCAAAATGAATCAGTCTTACCAACCCACTTCCAATACCCCTTGGCCATTCCGTTGTTGCTTCTGTGACAAACTCAGTTTTGTGTTTTACAGGGTCTCTTGGGAAGAACTGGACATCCTGGTCCCGCGGGAGCAAAGGGTGACAAGGTACAGAAGCGAAGCCTGGCTTATGCCCAGACTGGGGCTTGGGGTGGGGGCAAGGTGGGGTCACTTACAGAGAGGGCGGTAAAGTCATGCCGGACCTGAGAGGAACAATGTCAGAGGATAGCTGTTCTGGTAGGGGGCTCGGAAGGACCTAGGCCCCCAAACTAGTCTGAACACAGGAGATGTGCTTCTAGAGGGAAGGGTGAACAGGACTCTGGTGCCATAGAGCAAAAGTCCAGTCTGGATTCAGGATACTGGGCACCCAGCTATGGAGAAGGATGGTGGGGAGGCCTCCTGAGGCGGGCAGCTTAAGGTAGTTTGCACCTGGGGGTTCCAGCCGCAGGTGCCAAGACTTCAGACAACTTGGTGGCCATCAGGACCAGGATCCCAATAACCACAGGGCTTGCTGAGAAAATCTAAGTTCTGTCCTTTCACAGTTTTAGGGGAAATTCACTAAGAAACCAAGATAACTTGTTTCCTGTGGAGTCTAGTCGATTGGACAAATGGGTGACTGTGGTAAAAAGAGAGGACCAGGAGCCCAGGAGTCTCAGACAGAAAGACCACAGGGCTTCCTACGTTTACCCAATTTAGGATCTATGTTGGCCCCACAGTATGAGTCCAGACAGAGCCACCAAATGGGTGGAATAAGACTAGCTACTCAGATTAGGAAAGTAAGAATCAAGAGTCCACAGGGGCCACTCAAGTGGCTTCCATGCCAAAATGACCAAAATGAGTCATAATTGCATCAAGAAGAAAAGGAGTCCCCTAAAATTTGAAAAGCAACCACGTGCTCTTTCTAGATAGTCTCAGCACATTTTTCCCCTGACAGTATCCCAAGCTCCTTCCACAACCCTTCTTTCTTTGTTCTCTATGGAAATTATTCAATCAGAGATTTGCCTTTTGAAGTTAAGGGGAATTTCACACTGAGATGAGCTTTGGGGCACGATTGAGGATGAAAATAGGACTTTTTTGTGCCAGGAAAATAATAGTCTTTTCAATAGGCACACATTTTTCTTTGTTTGTTGTTCTCTCATAGTCCACGAGAACTGTGACATAATTCTCTGAAAGACACTGCCAACAGTCAGCAGAATATGACATGTCTTAGAGAGAGAGCCACCATGAAAGCAGTTTGGGAGAAGATACAATATACTCGTTGTCACTTGTTCTCAGGCAGATACATGGCAAGAGAAACATTACAATTCATTTTTATTGATAAAGATACAAGCAAAAGGTTTTTACGGTACTTTATTTTGTTACTGGGAAAAAAAATGGGAATATTGGAATGAAATTCTTCATCAGAGTTACAGAAATAAACTTAAATCCCTCAATTATTGGGCATTGTAAGAATTTTACTCTCTCTGGACTCTTTTTTAATTAACCGTTTCTTGCCATTGCCCCTGATAGTGAGGCTATTATTCTAAAAGAAAAGCACACTTACGGAAGAACTGCTTAAAGTGCCTCTGCTTATTATGGACCAGTAAGCATTCTGTCTATAAAAATAAAACTGAAATCCATTTTTCAAGTTTCAACTTGAATTCCTGCATCATGAATTCCATTTTCAGTCTGCTTCTCCAGCAAGCCGGATGTCTGAGGCTGTTTAAATCAAACAGACCATTGCCCCTAAACAGTGTTGCACCACAGTCCCTTTTGTTCTGCGGACCTGACTGACTTGGTTGTAAGTTCTAATATTAGTTGAAGAAGTGAAAGAGGTTTCTCCTCCTGCGGACACAACACAAGTTGCGATTCTTCTACTTTGGTCAAATTCTATAGAATCTACAGAATGGGAGCCAGCAGAGGAAGGTGGTGGAGGTGAGGCTAAAAGTGAGGGGCTGACCCAGAGGGCCCCCCCGGCTTGCAGGGACTCTGCCCTGCTCCCCCACCTGGGGAGAGGTCTCCAGGCTGCACTTGAAGTCCGGGACTCAATCTGGGTTGTTCTAGCTCCTTCTAAAAATAAGCTCTATCCCTGGGCCTCCCACAGGGAGAATCTGAATGGGTATGAGAAAAGGCATTTACTTTTCCTGTGGTCGAGAAATGTGTTGCCCCAGGCGAAGGACAACACCAAGCTAACTAAGGCTTTGCATGGCTGAAACCAAAGGACAGGTCATGCTGATTTCAGGATATGACTCTCTAAGCCAGCACGGCCTTGTTCACGACCTGGGGTACAAATGTCTAAGCCACTGATTGCGGTCTATAATCCCATGCAGGGCAGCGAGGGCCCCCCCGGGAGACCCGGACCACCTGGACTGCCTGTGAGTTATTTCTGTTTTAAAACTGAAATTCATGTGTCTACTTAAGACTTTTATAACTACAAGGTCAGATTACATTTAGGTGTTTTCAAGGATAAGTTGTCTGAGTTTCGTGTATAATTTGATAGCCAGTGTAGCCTTGGGGAAACCCGATTTTCCCCTGCAGCTGAGCCCCAGTGCACGGTGCTCAGATTCGCATCCTGTCGGCCTCCGTGCTGTGGACCCCGACCAGGGTGTGTGCCCCGAATGTCCACTTCCTGCCTGGGGGACCCTGGGGAAGTCAATGAGCTTCATGCACAGAGAAACAGAGGAGCTTTTAAAATATCCCTTCCAGCAATATGAATTGGTACAAACTTTGGTAGGATGCTACATGTGTTCATTACCATCCATGATGTCTGAGATGCAAGGAAATTCTGTTTAGGTAGCGCTTAGTGAATAAAACGTTCAGAGGCCATTGCTGCGTGTATGCTCCTGATGGAGACGGATGCGCACCCTGCATCTGAGCTGCGAGCGGCCTCTCGCCGCAGCAAGTGTGCCCTCGTGTGGGGCCACGCGCACATCACAGCAGAGCCTCCGTAGCAATAGTTGAAGAAGCCAGACTCACCTGAGAAGGGGCAGAATTCATTTGACTTTCTGAAAACAAGAGCGATATTATCAGTCTGCGCCCAGTCACACGCTTTACGCACGTAAATGAAGAGATTTGCAATGTTTCCCTAAACCAGTTCATCCCGTTCACTTTCCTTCTCTCTTGACCAGAAAGCGGGGCAGAAAGCATTTGGGGCTCAGATCCTAAAAGCCACTCCCCCCGCAGTGGACAGGAACAGCTAAATAGAATGAACTCGTGAAAGGGACCTATATTTTACAACAAGCTTGAGAAATCTTCCTCTTTCCCCTGAATCCTCCAAAATCATTGATTCTTCAGGGTAGATTACATGTTGTCTTTCCTGGGAGACTTCTGGGAATCTGACAGAAGCACCCCTCATCTCCCAGGGCGCAGCCCTAAAAGAGCAGACATTCAGCAGTTGTCCAATGAAAGAGTGAAATGATGAAGGAGTAAGTGACTGGGGCGTTCCTCCTTCCGTCACTAGTGCTTTGAAGATGCGTGAACATCGTGTTCTCTGAGCACCAGGGGCCACCATTACCCAAAATCCACGTAGTGATTTACTTCTTCAGTTTTGCAACTGAAATGTTAACGTCACAAAAAGGGAAATGCAGATTATTGATTCTATGGGAATTTTTTTTTTAAAGGATAAGAGCTCCTAACTAAAATTTTCATATGCACGATTTTCCTGAGTGCCAAAATGTGTGACGCTGGGACTTTCCATTCACGGGTCAGTTTTAGGAAGTTCTTGTTCCCAATTGTTCTAAAGAATATGCATTTGTAGAAACATCCACACAGAGCTGTGAGTAACATCATCTCCCCCATTTACCTTAATTTTCTCTTTTCTATGAAGAGACTGTAGAAAAAAATTACCTTTCAGTAACCAAATTACTCCCTGTCCACATCTTCATCAGCACTACCATGTCACAGCCTGCAGGGCAGCGGGCTGTAAACAGTTGGCATAAATTGGCAATTCAGAAACTGAATTTTAATGAGCAAATAATATTTTCCTCTGAATGCATTAGTGTCTCCTCTGTCAAACCCAAACATCAGTCACACCCCCTGAAAGTGGCCCTCTGCTCCTGGAGTCGTTCAAGGCTCCTTTTCATTTTTTTCCCCCCTATATTTGCTACATTTGAAAAGCCAAAAATGGAGACACTGTATTATCTTACTTACAGTATTAAGCTCACTTTCTAAAATGAAATAGGGAAAATTTCATTTGATTAAAAGATGAAAGGCAGAGATGCTAGCTATTAACTTCAAAGAATAATTCTGTATCTCATTTCTTTCCTAAGGGTGTACCATTCAATGAAAGAAATGGAATGAGCAGTTTGTATAAAATCCAGGTATTTACTTCTGTAATTATGTAAAACCACTTTCCAGTGGTGGATTACTATAAATTCTTCTCACCTTTTTTCTTTTTTCTGTTTTCCTGCAGGGAGGTGTGAATGTTCCCAGCTATCCAGGGCCGCCTGGACCCCCTGTGAGTACAGTTGTTTATCACAATGCATGTTAGCTGAACAGCCACCATAAAAGAACAAAAACAGAAACTCCAAAGTTCACTGAAAAAAATACATGTTACAATTATAACCAGAAGTTTATGCAGGAGGAAATGAATGAAACAAATTTTAATAAAATTGAGAAAATGTATACAGCCAAAATAATGAAAAATCGCATTCTGCATGGTGGTGTCACGTTTGGCATTGTTAATCTAAGGACTAAATCAACGTCCAGGCAATCACTGTCATGGGCGTGGCAGCAAGTTCTGTTTCTTCATCTTAGTCTTCACATCTAAGCCATAAACAAAATGAAACTTGCAAATATTTCTACGTGTTTTAAAGCAAATTGGGTAAAAATGCTTCACATCCTGTAATTTTGCCTCGGTCGTTCCTTTTAAAATGACTGCCCATGTTCATCTTGTAGGGTCCGAAAGGAGATTCTGGCCCCGCGGTATGTATATTCCCGTGTTTCGTGTCATTTCGAAAATTAGTCTTTGTTCGAGTTTGAAAGAAGAGCCTGAGGCAGAGGCGCCCTGCCTTGACAGATGTTCACCAGTTAACACGTCGGAGGGGGGCGCAGGCCGGCACAGAACGCGGCGAGGCGGTGTGCGTCTCCAAGATGCCTCGCTCCTGACGCTGTCCCTGCCCTGGGCGTTTGTCTCTGTCACCGCGTGTTTTTAAAATCACCCTGTGATGGAGAAAGGCACGTAAAAAACTTCTGACAAATGGGACACTTTATTCTGGTAGCACTATTTTGATGACTAACTCCTGTTAAGTAGATGTGGAAGAGAGGAACTCCTTAATGTCTGCCATCTCCCCAACAAAAAAAGAAAGGGACTATTTATTTGCTTTGGATGTCATCAGCAATTACTCGGTAGGAGGTGTGGTGTGCAGTTGCAGACGCGTGACTGGGAGCCATGTATCAGGAGGTTAGCGCCCAGCACAGCCAGAGATCATGTCCCCCAGCCGCCCAAAGGATGCTAATTGTTCTCACGCATCCTTCTCAGCCACATGGCCTCTCTGAGAAGGTTCTGCCGAATTCCATGAGGCCCCGTTCAGTCCTTGGCAGTGTTTCCTGTCCCGTCCCTTCCAAGCACATGTTCCATTTTTCATCCTTCATTTGTGTATCCTTTTAACCTTTGGGCATATACTTCAAACTCAGATGTACCTGCAACAAATAAACTTTGAAGCCATTTCCTGTTGCCACATGGAATAATGTAAGGCCCTTTCATTATGACAGTTTAGTCACACTAGATGAATAAATTTTAAATTAGCCAAAGCCATCAAAAACAATCCTTCCACACATCTAAATATATTTTTTTAAAGAGAAGAATTAAGGAGCTAACTATTTGTTATTAGGTAATATTTATGAAGAGCCCACTTGCTTCCCCCCCGAAAGCATGATTTCAACTAGTTAGTACCAGTTTCTAAACCCCAAATATATAATTTAGGAGTTTCCTTTAGTGTGTTACTCATGCTGCCCTTCTTTCCTCTGTAACATTTTTTATGCTTTGACCAGCCTGTCCTTCATCCTAATTCCAATTTTCTTTCATCTTGTTGATAAACATTTCCTCCTGGTCTTTTCCTCTCACACTCATACACAGGCCCTCTGAATCATTTAGAGGAATCTAGACTTCTCTGTCCTGATTTTTTGGCAACATTCTCAAGTTTCCATTAATAAATATAGATTAAGGTGATACAGTTTTCTAGAAAGTATTATAATAAAGGATAAATCATAATTCACTTGGATTAGAAAGTAGAGGGCAACAGAGAGACACACTAATTTAAGTAGAATTTGGGAGATTAGGTTTCAAATTTATTAGCGGCCACAAAGGATAAAAATGAAAACTAATTGAAGGATGTTTCTGGATTTTAGATATATGAATTAAAAAGATGAAGCGCAAAGACAAAAATATGAAATAATGACATTAAATACTTTATCTTAGATAAAACTTGAAAGTTATTCTTAGGTAAACTTGGAAGATATTCTTTGGGACCAGTGCACAGGAGAGAGAGTAATACTTCATCCTAAAGAAATAAGCCAGGAATGGTAGAAGTGTAGGTCACTCTCAGATTAGACAATGGAAAAATCATTTTGAGGTGGGTCGGGGGAGACTCACTGCTGCTATATCTGTACCAGTTTAGATCTCAGCAAACCTTTCTAGACAAAAATTACCCTTCACTGAATTGATCTTCTGAGGTGCCCCCTTTCCTTTCTTTGGCATTTAATTTATAAGTGGCTTTCAATTAAATATTTAATAATTAGGTACTTTCAAACACATATTGATTGATTGGTTGAATACTTTCCTTCATTCTAAGGACTATTGATGATGTAAACAAAGAAAATCAAAGAGCTTATTTCCTTTGTCAATAACCCAGGGCCTCTTTTACAAAGCTTTATGCAGAATAGAATCCCAACATGTTTCCCCGCCCCCCCAACCCCAATCGACAGGTTATATATTAATCGACATTTAAAAATATTTCTGAAGCATAAAAAGTGTCAATTCAAGTGCTTGCTCATTCAGTATTTTGTAATGAAGACAGTATCATAAATAATAATGGAAGTTAGAGCCTTGGTTATATTTTTGAAGCAGATTGGAATTATTTCATGCATGCAAAATATGTATACAGAGAATGAAAATTCCCTTTTCTTTGTGAATATGTCGAAAGCATCCAGTGTCCTAAGAAAATACTTACAGTTAACACTAATGCATTAACAAGTAGGTATCAAACAGTTACCCACCTCTCTCTCTTAATTTAGAAACCCTAATGTTTATTTGTTTAAAGTGAGCAGCTTCCTTTACCATAATTTCTCCAAATGTGTTCCCTGAGGGCCTACAGGCTCCAGCCAGCCTGGGACCATACTCTAGAATATGTAACAGATTGTTTTAAGTAGAGACACCTGTCTCCTCAGTGGCCTATCAGCTTGAGAAATAACTTTTAAGATCACTGGACATGATGCGCTGGGGACCATCTTCTAAGCATTCACAATTCATGTCCAGTGGCAGAGAGTATTGGAGGAGGATAAACTTTGCTTTCAGAACTCCATCTTCATTCTCTCTTAAAGGGGTTTCGTTTTATTCTCCGGTAATCTAGCAACCCCAGGTACCTTACAAATTAGCAAACCTTTTCTTCTAATTCTTACTGGAATTGGAATCATGAATGAATGAAGAGATTCATTCTGATTAGATTCATAATCAGAATAAAATCAGTTAATCAGAAAATGTACTCATATTATATTCTCCAGGGAAGAGCTTTGTTCTCAGACTATTTTCAAACACCAAATGCAAGAATATAGATGCTTAAAAATAGAGCATACCGATTACTTGTTAAATTACCACTCAGTGTTTGATGGGGTATTGTTTTAGGCAAAAAATATCTCTGCTTTTGAAGCCAATGATTAAAAAACCTTTGACCATTGCTATGTTCATATTTAACAGGGAGAACCTGGTACAACAGGGTTGCCAGGACTAGAAGGATTTCCAGGTATAAAGGTAGGTACAGGAGTTAGAAACGTGTTCACTGATTTCAACAATCACAAATGTTTGCTGAGCACCTACTGTTGGGCCAGGAACTGTCTTAGGTTTAAGGATACAGGGGAACAAAACAGACACAAGTCCTTACCCTCATGGAACTTACTATCTAGGAAGCAAATACAGAAACTAAAAGAACAAACATAAATAATGAAATAGTGTTGTTGGTAAGTGCTGTGGAAAGAAAGAAAAAGTGGGCAGATCAAGGGGCATCAGGACTGCTGGCTGGTGGGTTGCAGTTCTGAATAAGGTGTTTGAGAAAAGCAAAGACTTCGCAGAGAAGAAGGTGTGCTAGGCCGAGTCCCCGCGCACCGAACGAGGAATATGTTCCAGAGACCTAATGAGTAGCATGGCGCTGGTAGGTGACAATGTGGGATGATGCAGATGTGAATCAGCTTGACTGTGCTGATTATTTCCCAGTGCATACATGTCTCAGATCATCACGCTGTATACCATAAATATGTACAATTGGTTTTTTTTTTAAAGGAAGACAGCAGGTCTGAATGCCTGGAGATAGGAGCATTCTGCTACTTCAGAGGAGAGCAGGGGGCACGAGTGAGGGGAGAGGCTGATGCAGTAGAGGTGGGGTGGGGGGCGGCGGGGAGCTAAGGTGTAGGCCTGTCAGGTAGTCACGCAGAGCAGTGGACTCCAAATCCAGCCAGCAGAGCACCGGGCCAGGCTGCAAACTCTGTTATGGCTTCTGTGGCAAGATACGCACAGAGATTGAGAGGAAGCATTTCAGAATGTGTCTAGCAGCATGACTGCCGTGATGGCCAGACACGTGACCGGCAGACGCATCTTGGTTCCTGAGGCCTTAGAAGAGCGGTAAGTAAAGGCACTGCTCCTTCAGCACGAGTGGTTTGAGGAGCGCTAACAAAGGGCTTATCGGCTATTGTGAGGACTTGATCTTTCACTCTGGGTGAAATAGGGAGCCAGTGGTGGTTTCTGAGTAGAAGAGTGACAGGGCCTGCTCTGCGGGGGCAGGGGTAGAGTCAGGAAAGCATGATCAGACTGTTCCTGCAATACAGGCGGGCCTGGGGTCAGCTCAGATCAGAGGAGAGATGATGGGGACGGTGAGAAGCGGCTAGATTCTGGATATACCGGGAAGGTAGAGCCAATGGGATTTTCTGATCGGTCATGTGAGTGTGAGAGAATAAAGAGTCAAGGACGACTCCAGGGTTTTGGCCAGGTTTTCTGGCCAGGGGACTTGATAGGATCTCCAAGGGAGTAACAGGAGGGTCAAGGACTGACCCCTGAGGCCCTCCTTAAGGGGTCAGGAAGAAAAGGAGGGACAAGCAAGGGAGACTGAGATGAAGTGGCCAGGAGGTCGGAGGGAAACCTGGGGTCTCGGAAGCCAGGTAAAGGTGAAGGGAGCGATCACCTGCCTCAAGTACTGCACACAGCTCCAACCAAGAATAACGGGGAAGGGGTCAAGTAGGATGGTCAAGTATTGAGCATTGGATTTAGTAAAACAGCAGTCCTGTATCACCAGATAAATTATCACTACTTCCCATTATTGCTAGGAGCAACTGACAGACTTGAATGGGTCTAAGGGAGAATGAGAAAAGAAGAATTAGAGACAGCAAACACGGCATAGACAATGCTCAAGGAGTTTTGCTGCAAAGGAAAGCAAAGAAGCGGGGCCGGAGGCTGCTGGAGGGCAAGGTTTTACAAACTGGAGTGTAAGACCATGGAAATGCCAGCATGTTTAAATGCTAAAGGATGATCCAGTAGAAGGTGGGGTGAGATGCGGGCGTGTGGATGATGAGACAGTAGGAGAGGGGAGAATTGCTGCAATGATGTCCTGAAAAAGCCAAAGGGAAGGGAACCTAGTGCATACATGGAGGGTTTGGCTTTGGAAAAGAACCTAGATAGTTCATCTATAGGAACAGGTGTGGAAAGAGATTATAGAGGTGCAGAAGCTGAAATGTGAGGAGATGGTCTGGTTGGAATCTATAGTTCTTTTCTGGTTGCTCAGACTTTATCAGAGGTGGAAGGAGCAAGGCCATCATCTGAGAGTGAGGCCAGGAGAAGAGGTTGGAGATTTAAGGAAAAGGTCTTCTAGGAGAGAGGCAGAGTCCTGGGACCACAGAGCGTGATGGCTCAGCAGCCCCAGGGGCCTCCTTGAGGTTGGTGGTCATGAACTGAAGTGAGACCAGACAGCAGGATCTTCTCCAAGCATGTGCAGGTGCCCAGGTAAGGCACAGAAGAGGAGGGGAGTTGGATTTAAACAAGGTTCTAGTTTTGACAAGTGCATACTAGAAGCAATGGGGCAAGAGTCAATGGTATATACACAGGGGGATGATTATAGCAAGTGACCATGGAATTTAAACTAATAAATAAGAGAAAGAGGCCATTCAGGGACTGAAGGAAAATGAAAAATGTGTACTACCAATGGGTTAGAGTGTTGGGAGCCCAAGGTACTGAGTTAGAACAATGGGAGATGGTGGGCCAAGGTTGGAATGCATGGAATTGAGATGATGGAGGGGATGCAGATGCTGTTATTGACAAGGTCTCAGGTGTATCTATGAAAATAAGAGGCCAGGTCACGAGAGGACGATTCAAAGAACTAAGAGACCCAGATGTTGGAATGAGCATCTTGTCTGAGACAAGACCTCTTAACATTAATCTTTATCAGATATGCAAATGTTTCCATTGAGTGAAATGTTCCAGGATCTTGATTTCAAGGGGAAAAAATCCCATTATTTAAAAGGAACAGAGTGAAACATGACAAGAATTGCCTCTTTCCATCATTTGCCCACTTTTCTATGAGTTCTTTTTCTATTTGACTATAGCTATGCTTTATGAAGACTTTATTTCTATCTTATATGTTGGAGTTTATATCCTAGGTGGTCTTTGCCTTTCATTTATGTTTAATCTTACTGTATATAAATACAACTTTTACATAGTCAAATATAAAACTGTTTGATTTCTTGTTGTGCTTTTAGACACTAAATGATTTTTATTCTTATTCTTAACCAAAATCAGATGGTCACTTATATTTTCTTCTAGTTCTTTTATATTTCATATTATTTAACTTTTTATATTGGCTATACAGCATTTATATGTAGTATAATATAAAGAGAGTACTCAAACTTTCTTCCAAGAAATTGTTCAATTATTAGCACTATTTCTTGAATAATACATCCCTTCACTGAAACAATCCTATTATAAACATGGGTCTATTTCTGAGGTTTCTGTTACAATGCATTGTTATGCTGCTTAATCTAATGCCAATATTCCAAACTTTTAAGCATTATAGCTTAAATGTTTAAATACTGGTATTGCTAATGCATCATGTTTTACTTTTTTTCTTTTGTCCTCTCATTTACTCAGCATCCTGAGTGAACATTAATATCTGGTGATCAAGCTGCAATTTCACAAGAATTGTATTAAACGTATAAGTTAGTCTGGGTAGCAGTGATGCCTTTACAACATTGTCTTGCCCTCCAAGAACAAAACATGCCTCTCCATCTAATCAGGTGTTCTTTTATGTCCCTGAGTGAAGTTATGAAGTTTTTTAATGTAGGTTCTTCTCCACAAAAATTGCCATTTTATTATCCCATATATAACCATTAGCATTTTTACCACTGTCAGCTCTCCCTAAAATGCCACACTGCCTTTGGAAAGCCTTGAGTCTCTCTGAACCCTCTTCTATTCAGAGCATTTCAAGGCATCTTCTGCTTGGCCGAATGAGAACTACATAGCGCCTTGTTCTGTCTTTATTCTCTCCCTACATCCAGTGAGACACGTACAGCAAAAGCTTTTTAGGGGATAGTCAATGTGCTTACTCTTTAAGTATTGGTAATGAATAGTTTTTGAATATGTGGAATAAGAATATTGACCAATTTTGGTTGAAAGCACCTATGGAGTCCTGTTAAAAATAGGCCACAGGTTTGGGGACATGAATGCTTGTTTTCATTAAGATTTTTATTTGCTTTGGTTCTATGGCAAAAAGCATTAACAGGTTAGATTGCCTCCTTCTGTTATTTTCCCATCGACTGTAGCTTCACACCAGCTCTTGTTAATAAAGCTTATCACTTCGAAGGAGAGCTTTAGCAGATCCAGATTATTACTTGAGCATTAACTTTACAGGTAAAGATTTTATAGTTATCAATGTAAGTAGCATTTTTTTTTTTAATCCCAACAGGGAGATCGAGGCCCAGCAGGTCCCCCAGGAATAGCTGGCATATCGGTGAGTCCAGACTATCTCCCTTCATTTTCAGCTTCCACAGTAACCCCCACAGTGGGGCAGCCCTGCTGACTCCTGCGGCGTCAGGTTCCTGAGACCTCCCGTCTAAACAATAAGGCCCCGTCCCTCCTCTCCCACCTCAAGGATACTTCTTTCTTTATTTTCACCTTTTTCTTATTTTTGGCCTTTGGATTTTTTTTCTCCCCAGCTCACTGAAGGAGGGAGGGGAGGGAAAGCGCAGGCGCCGTGAGGGCATCTTCATACGGGAGCACAGCTTTGAGAAGCCCGTTTCTCTACTCTTGTCTTCCTTAACGTGGCTTGGTCCTCAAAAGGCAGAGTTCTCATCCTCAGGATGTGCTTGCTGTCCTTCGTATTAAACTCCCGTCTGCCCGGTTCCTGCAGCCCAGCGTTACTAGCAGCTTTACTGTTGCTGATGTTTCCTCGCGAACTAGCCCTTTGATCCTCTCACTCATTTTTGTTGCTCTCTGGTGTCAAAATGTTTTAATCTCACCAAGGTCTTTTCAAATGAATAGGAAATGCTCCAAGAAAGGTTGAAATCATTTCTCTGAGCCCTAGGGGACATTCGGATCTTCATTCATGATACTCCAATTAAAATTTTATGAATAAGAGCCCATTTATCCTTTTGCTAGGTGCCCCTGCAGTGTAGACCCAGGGTAGGAAAGTCAATGGAAACCACGTGCTCAAATCATGGGGACATGTGAAAGAGGAGAAAGGGCCCTGCCATCACACCCACTGCCACCTGCCACCTATTGACATCTACTGACACCCAGCACCACCCCAGTCCCTCAAGAGGCCAGTAGCCACTCAACTTCACTCTATTTAGTTGCCAGGTCTAATAATAAGAAGTTAAAACCTATCTATAGTCTGTAGAAAATCATACTTTATAGATGATACCATCCTCTTATTTAGCTAAGATAGATCAAGTTAAATATTAATATGATTGAAAAGTAACATGAAAATACTTTCTTTAGCAAGCACTGTAGAATCTTTTATACAAGGAAGTATCCTTCTTCAAAGCTGGTTCAGACTTAATTCCATTCCTTCTCCCTGCCTCTCACCACCATTCCTACCAACATATTTGGAACTGTTTCCAGAATTGCCCTGAATTTTCTTACAACCTGCCCCTTGTATTCACACCTTAGTTTTGTTTCCATGTTGGATGATGGAGCTTAGCTCCCCATGTATTCACCAGGTGTGACTACAAATCACTTTTGGCTGTCACCCTAAATTAAGTCTTATCATCCCATAAATAAATATTGACAACCATTGAAAGTCTTTAAAAAGTGAGTGGCAGGCTCAGAAGTCATTCCAGATGAAGAATTCCAAAGATATTTTTGAAGGACACGACATGACTGAAATAAGGAGCTAGCCTACTACTTAACGGGATGTCCAAAATCTGATATATTTATTTGAAATGCAGTTTCCCTATTTCAAATTAAGAGGATCAACTGACAATTACAGAAATAGCAAAGGGGAAAAAATTTTGTGCACTGACAAATATACAACTGTGTGATTACAAATGCAACTTAATTTTTTGAAACTGGGCCTTACCGTGGTTCAGGAAATAAAATAGTTAAATGACTCTAGGTATAGGTAGTGGCAGTGGTTACACAGCAGTGTAAATATAATTAATGCCTCTGAATTTTACACTCAAAAAAAAGGTTCAAAATGGTAAATGCCAGGTAATACTTATTTTACCACAATTAAAAAGGAATTTAAGGGGATTGTCCTGCTTGCAGCAGGAATGAAACCCACCTGCTCAGACACATCACTGTCACTCTGCTGAGGCCCAGGGGGACCCAAGCCTGTCTTCCTAGAACAGAGTAGTCCAGCCCTTTCCAGGATTTTCACGCCCACCCAGGACTTTGACCCCCTCCACCGCCCCCTGGGATGGTTATGCGGGAGGAGGTGGCCGTGGGTGGTGGCAGTGGGGGGGAGCCGCTGGTCTGCACGTGTCCCCGGGTCCCCTGAGTTCTGCCTGACTCTGGGCCTTTGTCTCAGATCTCAAGGCCCGAGCACTGTGCCCCCTGTCCCATGCCAGGACCCTTAGGGCGTTGGCCTTCTCAGGTCTGGCGCATCCCCCACCTGGGGCCCTCGGGAAATTCTGGATGTCCTGGCCGCACACACAGGCTGAGGGGTGCCGGGGCTTCTCTCAGGCCTCCTGTCCACCTTGCTGCACCATGCCACCACTCGGAGGGGAGGCCTGTGTGGAGGTCCCCTCCCTGAGTTCTAAACAGCAAGTGGGGGAAAGAGTTCCTCGCAGCCCACGGGCTGTCATGGTCTCTGCCTCACGCCCACATCCCCCCCGAGTGCCTTTCCAGCCATGGCAGGTCCACAGGATGCAGGAGGCAGTGCCTTCTCAAGGCTATGTTACTATGAACTAAAAAGCCCTCTTGTGAGAGTCGACCCCACAGAGCCGAGCCTGTGGGGGCCATCCAGCCAGGAGCGCCCCCTCCCTGGAGAGCCACAGCCCCTGCAGCCCACTGAACTCACAGGCGTGGAGGCGAGGAGCCCCCCTCCTGGAGGGCCACAGCCCCTGCAGCCCACTGAATTCATGGGCGCGGAGGCAAGGAGCCCCCCTCCTGTAGGGCCACAGCCCTGGCAGCCCACTGAACTCACGGGCATGGAGGCAAGGCAGGTGGCACCACTTGGCCATCTGACTTCCAACCTTTCTCCTTGCTTTGATTTCCCAGGGAAGACCAGGAGCCCCAGGGCCGCCCGGAGTGCCAGGGGAACCGGTGAGTTGCCAGTGACTTAGCTGTTGTGCTCGCCTGCAGTGTTAAAGCTTTTCTTGGTAAATAATGCTTGTCTGTGGACCTGCCTACAGGGTGAGAGAGGACCTGTTGGAGATACAGGTTTCCCTGGACCAGAAGGACCCTCAGGAAAGCCAGTAAGTCCTTTCTACTATTTAAACTTGACCAGTTTAAGAAGTACTCTAAACGGTACCTCTTCACCTGTCTCCTTGGAAAGTCTGACATTTGAATAAGTAGTTTCCCAGGAAGTGAGGGCGGGTTCCACGGTGGATTTTGGGGGATGTGGGTCTCTCTGAGTGTCCTGGCTCTCTGGGAGGTATCTTTATGTCTTAAAAAATGGTGAGAAAGGTGAGATTTTTTTTTAGTGTCAGGAAATTGAACTCATCATTTCTTAAGTCAAATGTTCTCAGAGGAGTCAAAAAATAAAATGGCCTGTCACATCCTAAAATATACAGACCCTGAAGACTCACCGACTCACCTGTGTGTTAAGCTAAAGACTAAAGTGGAAGCTGTTTTTTCAGAATCCCCCCTTTATCTCTGAGCCTTGTTCTTAGACTTCCACAACCACTACTGCCAAATATATGACCCCCCTGTGTCCTGAAGGAGCTCTTGGCTACTGATAGATGGAATTGATGTGACATTGTAACCATCATTCCTGCTAATTCAGTTCCATCCAGCATGTATTCCTCTAATGCCTGCTGTTTGCTAAGGAAGCGCTGGGCCCCGAGGGAGGGGATGTAAAGATGAATAAGACCTGCCCTGATCCGGTTTGCTCCTTCTGGAAAGTCACTTCTGCTTATGCTTGTTTATTTGCCGTGGCGGCGTGTGTGGGAAGCTGGTACTGCTGGGGGCAGCGGGCAGCGAAGGGGACCCGGCACAGAGTACATGAGGCTGCTTGGTGACCCTGTGAGACGTTCAGGGTCAGAGCGCTGCCCGGCCACCATCTCCCCAGGGAAAGAAGCGTGACGAAAGGGGAGCATATGCAGTTCATAGTCAGGGTTGTGAATCGTGACTCAAAGCGTTTTGTGAGTCACTCAAGTAATGTGACACATGGTACGCATTTCCAGGGCCTGGCCATGGGAGGTGCTCTATAAATATTAGTTTCAGTCCTGTCTCCTTTACCTCCTCTTACCACCTCTGCACCCCTAACCCCTGTAAGCCATCTGGTAAATGCTTGCCATTGTGTTCCCTGGGGATTATGCGAAAGGCAATTTGTTCATTCGATATATATTTCTTGGGCACTTAGTACATACTAGCAACTGTGCTGGGTGCTAGCAGCTCACGGGGTTTATATTCTAGTGTATACATGGACAACAAATAAATACACACACACAGTTTCAAGTAGAAGATCTAAACAGGGTGAGTGCTAGAGTAGCATTTAAGTAGAGGGGCTGGAAAAGGCCTGCAGTGAGACCTCAAATCATCGGGAGGTCAGAGTCAGGGGAGGGCACTGTTTCAGTAAGAGAAATGGTTGGTAGCAGAGGGAGCCTGGTGATTCACTGAAGGAACTGTAAAAGCCGTGAAGCCCAGAATGAACTAAGCTAGAGACTGGGTGAGATCCTGGGAGGAAAGCAGACTGTGGCCACGGAGCACTTCTAAGCCACAAATGGGGCTTGAATTTCACGTGAAGCGTGATGGACACCCATCGGAGCATTTGCAGTCGGGAAGGACAGCAGGTGGACTACATCAAGGAGGATCCCTCGGGCTGTTGTGTGGAGAGCAGAGTGTAGGGAGCTGGGTGGAAGCAGATTGAATGGTGGGGAAGCACCGCCGTGATCCCCACGAGAAGCAGGGGTGATGGGAGCAGGGAGGCGACGAGGAGCGGGGGAATTCGGGATGTGCATCGAAGGGCACGCGCCATAAGACTTGTCCATCAAATCAAAGCTGTGGTTTGAGGTCTGAGCAGCCATGCCAGAGTGGTGGGTCTGGTAAGATGGGATAGACTGGAGAGGGGTGGGCTTGGGAGGGAAAACCAGGAGCTCTCTGTTTTGGACATGTTCACCTTGAAGCACGAGAAGGTGTCCAAGTACAAATGTCAGGTGAGCAGTGGATATTCACTTCTGGAGTAACGGGCAGGCCAGGACTGGACAGACCAGCGTGGGTGGTCTGACCCTAGGCTGGATGAAACGGAGTCACTGCCGAGGGAAGGGAGCCCTCCGGCTGTTAGACTGAGGCCCAGGCGAACAGCTGGAGGAGGTGCAGCCAGTGAGACGGGAAGAAAACCAGAGAGTGAGGTTTCCTGTATGTCAAGGGCGCTAGTGTGCTAGGAAAAGGAGTGATAAACATACAGACGAGTAACGTGAGAGCTGACAGTTCTCTGCTAGGTTGAGAAACGTGGAGGTCATAGGTGGGAGGGATCACAGCACGGTAGCACCATGGTAAGAATGGTCCGGTGAGAGGGGACATTCTGATGACACGGGTCCGTGGAGACAACTCTGAGTAAGAGAGAAGGCCGGTATTTCCCTCGCAGGTGGAAATCGGTCCAGCAAGGGACAGGGGCCGTCGTCCTTCTTACCGGGAGGGAGGGGGGCGGGCAGAAGCTGGAGAACCAAAGCATAGCGGTTGGCGGACCTGGGGGAGGAGAGCCCAGGTGGTCCTCTCCGTTTACTTCCTCACCGAAGGGAGAGTTGGGTGGCGATGCTGCAGGTTTGAGGAGACACGGAAATGGGTGAAGAGTACTACTGGAAAGAAGGAAAGGAAGTCAATTCAGGAAGTACAGAGGGCGGCCTGGGAACGCAGGAGGCTGCTTGCGTCGGCCGGGGCACATTCAGGCGGGGGTGAGTGATCAAGGACACGCACGTGTTTGTCTTCGTCTGCAGCCGCTCAGATGCACGTGTGTAGACAGAAAGGGACGGGATATGCCAGGAGTGGGGTTCTTGCAGATGAGTGAGGGAGGGGAGAGAGCGGCAAATACATGTAGACTATTGTAAAAATCTCCGAAAGTAGAACTCTCCTGTGGAGAGCGAGCTGGTGACACCTTCACACTCAAAAGGAAACACCCAGGAGTCTGATGAATTACAAGAGGCCCAAAAAGAGACCATACGGTTATTTCTTTTCTTGTATGGTTACCAAAAACATGAATTACATCTTTGTCATCTTTTATTCAAGTGAGACAGTTGTTTCTTTCATATCCTGTCCTTAATCAGCTTTATCTCTGTTGCTGTGTCTCTGGATGTAATAAATTCTTTCAGCTGTACACTTCAGGAAACATGTTGGAGTTAAAGTACTCTAGATAATTCCCAGGATGCTTCAGAGGGGCTGGGGACTTTGGCTGGGTTGTCAGCTCGGACACATTTTAGTGTGATTGACGGCAGTGAGAACACGTGGGGTCTCCAGACCCACCCTTGCGGAACCCAGCGCAGCACAGTAAGAGGCTCCGAGGCTTTTCAGAGGAGCATGTCCTCCTTGCAACTGCCTGCTGCCGAAGAAATCGTTTTCCTCACTTTGATCTCCCTCTTCAAATCAAATCTCAAAAACACATCTGCTATTGGGCTCTAGGTATCTGATTTGACCCCAAGTGCTTCTCCATCTTGCATCTCCCAGCCAGCAGTCCTCCCAGTCTTATAAATCTCTGAGCAGGACTGGGCTTTATTACCACCTCCAGAAACTGCCTTGTAGAGTCCAGGATACTTCCAGCTTCCTAATAAAAAGCCACTGTTTAGTACTCTCAAAAACCATGATTACAGATTTCTTACTTTCCTTTCATATTTTCCAACTGAAAAATAACAATCTTTCTCTGTGGCTGGCAGTTTATTTCATAGTAGGATCTTGCTCTGGCCATGTTATGAAATTTCCCCAGTAGCAACTAAGACCATTTACCGAGAATGACTCTTTGTGGTGGAAAAATTGTTAGAAGGTAACAACAGTAAATGCCACATACCAGCCACCCCGCACCACGGGGCTCCTTCTTATTTCTCAGAATGTACCTAATAGAATAAGGAAAATAACCCTGTTGACTGTTTGTAGAGAGCTTAGGCATTTTCTGTTATTTCACTAAATCCTTAGTTTTAAGACCATTATTTTATCTTCACTTTGTAAGCGAAGAGATCAAAGCTATTAAGGTTATTAACCAAATTGCCTGGAGTAAATGGAAGTTTAAGTGACAGAGTTTGAACCTGGCAATGCCTGAGTCTACTGATTTTGTTTTCCGTTTTGTCACATTGCTTCACCAAAATCTCAGTAGAAATATGACTAAGTCCTTGAAACTTTACCCTTTTGTTGTGTTTGACTATGTTAATGAGCATTTAGAAATATTAATCATTTTTTGTCTCTACATAGGGAATAGATGGAAAAGATGGATTACCAGGTGCTCAGGTATGGAAAAATACCATTTAAAATAAATGTTCTACTGCAAAACTTCATCCAGAATAGCTGCCAGAATACTTGATTGGGTAGATTGATGAAAAATTTTGGCAAGCAGTTATTTTTAGTGTTGAAATTTGTTTTTCAGGGCATCATGGGTAAGCCTGGAGATAGAGGTCCCAAAGGAGAACGTGTATGTATATTACTACTATGGTCATTATTTAAGTCTGTCTGCTACAATTGTCCCATCATTTGAGTTACACTCTTATGCATGTAGAACCCTACAAATCTCCCAGTGTGAAAAGGCATGTATGTGATCCAAGATCTCTGCCAGGCATAAAACAGAACAATTACAGGACCCAGAAGCAGGTTGTGGACCTTTATACATTCACAACTAAGTCTAGTTTGCTGTTCTGCTTTGGAAAGCGTTCATCTTCCTGTCTCAGACACATATCCCTACTATAGCATCACCCAGATTCTTTTCCCATAAGACAGGGTTTCTCAGCCTCAGCACTGTTGACATTCAGGGACAGATAACTCTGTTGTACATGCTTATCCTGTGCATTGTGAGGTGTTCAGCAGCACCCCTGGCCCCTACCCACTGCATGCAGTACCACGACCCTCCCTCTGATTGCAGCAATCAAAGCAGTCTCCAGACATCACCAACTGCCTCCTGGCAAGCAAAGTTATCCCAGTTGAGAACCCCTCACCAGGTGGGATCCCCAGTTGAATAAGGGGGTGGGGTGAGGTGAGGAGGTGCAGAAGTGGAAAATGGAAATGTATAAAGTTACTAATAATGCTGTTTTGTGCTTTTAATTGAATTGTTCTGGTGTTTGATATCACTGTTGCAACTTCCCATTATTTTCTTTAGTGAGCCTTAACATTTTCTAGTAGAATTGGAGTCATTCCCAGCATAGTTATTTAGTGGAATTCTAGAAAGGGCTGCTAGCGTGTATGTGTGTGCACACGTATGTTTGTGTACTGGTGTTTGGTTTACTGCTTTTACTTATTGTACAAATAACCCATGAAACTAAAGGAAATATGAAAAAATATGAAAATAGAAATAAAATCTACTTTATCTCACTACACAGAGGTAAACACTTGATATTTTGGATACCTTTCCATCCCTCACTCTTATAATATACACATAAACTTAATGTATCAACACAAATGAATATACAGTTTTTCAGAAATTGGTTCATACTATTTCATAAATGAGTTATTTCACCTAATATAATGACCATCCTTTCACGTCAGTAAATACAGATCTTCGTGTACCCTTTAGTGGCTATATGTTATTCCACTGTTTGAATTTACCTTATTTCACTTACTCTGACCACTTTTTCTGATTATTCAGATTTATTTCCTGATTTCTTCATAATAAACATCACTATAATGAACATCCTTGTGCCCAAATTATAAAATAACTTCAATTTCAAAGATTGTATTTATTTTGCTCATGCTCAGAGTATTGATCAAAGTATGCTAATATTTCTTTCATTTCTTTTTAAAAATTCTAGTCATCTCATATTTCTCCATATGTGAGCAGTGTTAATGTACTTGTATGCATAACATTTGCATAACTAAGATGCAGCATTGAAATTAGGTCCATCTGTTCTTTGCTTCTTTCTACAAAGCTTCGTTCTACATCTCCTCAGTCCATAATCAGATAGTCTCTATAGTTGTTCATTCAGTTTTATTATTTTTTAAATCAAGAGAAATAGAGTTTGGCCTTTTGAAAGATGGTCACAAAAAAAATAATGCAAGGAAATACAGGGCAGCCTCTGCCCCCCACCCCCCATTCCATCATACTTGGGGTGATGATCACCTCCTGGAGTCATGACCTAAATGTTTGAAATGTGTACAACTGAAACCCCTGCCATGATACACGCACACCTCCCTCTCTCCTTCTCCATCTCTACCTCTCCCTCTGTCTCTAGCTCTACCCGTGATCTGCAAATGCAACCAGCAGTAAGTAGACACCTTGCAGGATAAACGTCAGCATTAAAGAGACTTCTTATCAGATGCAGGCGCATCTAATATAACTGTATACCTAACTTATTATGACCTCTTACTCAATGACTTCTCTTCTAGTTCATTTCTGTTATAGAGTAAATGATTTCAGCGATGAGCCTCCACCCCAGTCCCCTGCTTTGAACCTCTTCAGAGGCTCGCTTTTCTCACCTGCCTGAACATAGACCTTTAGGACACAGCATGCATGTGTGTGTGCACACACCACACACACAACACATACGTAAAACATGAGTGCAGAAACCAAAACACAGAATCTAGTAAGGACCAAACAGACAGGAGAAAACAGACAAAAAGAAAAGGACATGATTTAGGAGATATTTTCAAGTGTCCTGAGGTTTTCCTGAGAGAAAAATCTCAATGTTGAAATTCTGGCAGTGTTCCTTTACTATTTATTGTGAAGGGGGCCCAGGCCTGAAGTGACAGCGGCCACTGACTTTCAAAAATGTCTTCATTCTAGACTGGCAGCGTAGTACAGCTGACATTGTCACTAGCTTCTCACTGAGTGCTTTCAGTGCGCAGGCATTGCTCTGAGCCCTTGACTTAACCCATTTACTTCTTAGCACCACCCACTTAGTGGACAGTATTAATTATCTGCATCTTATGGGACAGAAAGCCAGGGCACAAAAAGTTTAATTCACTTATCCAAGCTCCCACAGCTAGTAATTTCCAGTATGAACCCAGAACCTTTGTTCTTAACTGCTACTGTGGTTCTAGAAGAGATCATTCTTTTTATTAAATTTTCCTTTATCAGGGTGATCAGGGAATTCCAGGAGACAGAGGCCCACAAGGCGAACAGGGAAAACCAGGGCTTCCAGGCATGAAGGGGGACCCAGGTCCCATGGGGCCACCAGGAAACAAGGGGTCCATGGGCTCCCCAGGGCACCGAGGCCCTCCCGGCGACCCAGGCACTCCTGGCACCCCGGTAAGTCACACCCAGAGCTCCGGGAGCTCCTGGCTGGTATTGACCACATGTCCCTTTTAGAGGGAAAGCAATCATTATCCTTTCATAATCAACGGGATGAACCTAATCTGGTCCCCACAAATAAATGGTAGCGATAGCTGCCATTTATTTCAAGTTATGTTCAAAACCCTCTGCTAACTATTTCATGTGCATTACTTCACTGGCTTCTCACAGCTGGTCTGGAAGGATACGTGTCCTGTCCACCCCACTTTTACAAATACAGAAACTGAGACTTGACTTGTCCAAGGTCACAGTTATTAAGGGTCAGACCCAGGTCTGACTCCAAAGCCATGCTCTTAAATACTAAGACCTGCAATGCCTCCAGACACTACACAGAATGCATGTATGTCTGCTTGTATTGAAACTGTATTTTGTTGAATATCAGAATGACAAAGCTTCCCTGAATGGTGCTTTGAAGGAAACCAGTTAGGCCAAGAAAGAGTGATGGGTAAGGAAGCCCACGTCTTTATTAATCTGAAAATACCCATGGTAGGAGAAAGGAATGTCCTAGAATAAGGTGGGGGTATGTGGGTGTTAAGGACATGCTGTCCTCAAATAATCAGACAAACCAGATACAGGACCAAACCGGGCATCCCACGATGTTCACACTCCTTTTTCTTTAGCCACTCTCCTTAAGCTCTACTTGAGTAGAGCATATATAATGACCTCTCAGTTCTGTGTCAGTAATTGGTATTAGATGCATTAATTCAACTTTATTTGTCCTATATACAGTGAAAATAAAATATTGAAATAGTGCATTCTTGAAACTATTCTGTCCTACAAAAGTCATCATTTCATGGGTCCATCACGTCGTCTTTAATGCCACATCTATAGCCCCAGATAATAACCACCAAATACAAAGAAGAGTAATAAAGTGCTTTGAAATCCTATCATGAAAAATAATAGCCATCTTTTAAAAATACCAAGTTGCTATAGTAAAACGTTACTATTTTAAGTGTCAAATTCTTTGTCACATTCGTGTAGATTATTTGCCAAGGGGGTTAACAACTCAATGGACATCACTTACCTACTTCCTTCACCACATCCCATAGCGTTTTCTATTACAAAAAGAAAATTGCTTACTATAAATACACTTGCAAAGTGTAAAAGACAGAATAAATTTTACCATGAAATGGTAAATAAAACGTTTTAAACAATAATCTAACATACTTGGAATTCCTTCCATGGTCTCTTCCTTTGAAGATACATAATATCAGATACTGACTTGACCACTCTAAGGACAGATTAAAAGTTAAATTGTGCCTGGGATATTCACGTCATGGTAACACTGTTCACATTCTTTAACTTCAGAAAATAAAGTAATAAGAGATAGCTTTCCTAAACGTCTGAAGCAGTCTCACCACTTAACAGGAAATAGGTTCTTATCGCTGGTTCTGATTCCAGCCCACAGCTTTTTAGATGATGACGCACTTGAACTTCTTCCCCACATGTGATCAAAACAAAAGATATTTATTGCCTAATATAGTCAAGGCCAAGAGCATTTTGCTTGATGAATTTATGTCTTTGAAGTTTCAAGTGTGCACACCAGTCCAACATTTCTAGTCTTTATTCATGTGTGCTGGGCTCTGTTTTCACAGACCTCTTTTTCCTCTTCTTTAGGCCGATGCGGTTTCATTTGAAGAAATAAAGAAGTATATTAATCAAGAGGTTCTAAGGATTTTTGAAGGTTAGATTTGCTTAATAAACATTTCTGAGTTTTTCACCACTTCCCACCCACTGGGGATAAGCGTCCTGTCCTTTTCAAGGGGTTCCTTGAGCACCTTTGCAACAGCAGCATGAGGGGCTCCCCGATTGATGGTAGGGCCGCTCTTTCTGATAGCAAATTCCTTACCCAGAGGTGAGCTTGCCTCCCTGCAACATCTCCTCATTCCTGGCCTTTTACACAGCACGCGTGGCTAAAGCACCGTCCTCTGCTCACAGGACAGCCCTTGGAGTATTGGTCGGTAGCCACGGCGCTGCCCCTTAGTTTTCTCTGCCAAGGAGTAAGTATGTCCAGCTGTGCCACCACCACCACCCTGAAGAAAGGACTGTTTGTAAATGACCCTCATTCATGCAGGACTATTTTGACCAGAGTACGGGGTTGTTTCTATCTAGACCAGGGTCAGCAAATGCAGCCCTCCCGCCGAACCCATCTGCCACCTGTCCTTGTGTGGCCCGCAAGCTGAGAAAGGTTTTCACTTTTGGGGGGGTTGCAGTGGGAGGAGGGGTACACTGGAGGATGTTTTTTAGTGGCTTTTTAAAATCAAAAGAATATTCCATGCCGTGCGAAAGTGATCAGAAATTCAAATATGTGCGCGTATAGTCTTACTGGAGCACAGGACTGTTTGCTCTGGCCGCTCTCATGCTAGGGCAGCAGAATTGAGGCGTTATGACAGGGGCTGTATAAATATTTACTCTCTGATCCTTTGCAGAGGAACTTTTCTGACCCTTGATATAGACACTTCAATAATGCAGTCTAAGATAACATCCCTTTATTTATTTTTTTTAAAATCCTTGATTTATTTTGAATTTTCAATCACTAACCGCCTGAACCTTCCTTATGCAAATGTTTTTAAATTAGGTGTTTTTCATTTTGCACTGTGTCTGTTTTTAAAATCTAAATGTGTGATTTTGTGTTTCCACTTATTAAATTTCAAGTGATTCATTGTTCCAACCTGAAGGTGCCTTTTGGGATGTGGTCTGGTTGTAGGACAGGTTGGCGGACCCTCATAACTTTGTGTCCTCTCAAAATTTTGCGAACGTGTCATCATTCTAACTGGTGCATGTTGAATTAAAAAAGAATCAAGAATTAGGCCCTTCTAAATGCCATTGCATTCTTCCTGCCTGCTTGTAAATCATCTGTTAATCTATTGTTTTAGTGAGCTCTGTATCCATGTAGTTGCCCTAAAATCCACTCTATATTTCTTCATTCACGAGGATATCACAGCATTTTGTCAAATGATTTCCTAAAAGTCAAGATCACTCCCCTCAACTGTAAGCTTAATAAAGTTGCGATTATTTGTCTTCAGAAAGTAAGTCCACCTTGGCCCTCAAAGATTCCTGCTTCCTTTCCAAAGCTTCCTTCCTTTGCTAAACTAAGAATATATTGTTGAATTTTGTCAGGCATGGGATTACAAAATGCCCCGAGGGTATCATAAATCTTTCTAATGCAAACATGGAAATTAGCTATTCCCCAAAAAGCTCTGATTATTTTGAGCAGTGATTAGTATTAGAGACCAAAGTCTCCACAGTTGAGTGCACACTTTCTTTCTTCTCCTGAGCACTAGAGGTACAGCAGAGCAACACAGGGACCTCTGGCCCCTTTGGTGATAAAATGGAAACAAAATTTGTTCTAAAAAGTGATGAATTCATGCTGTTGATTTCAATTTACCTTGATCTCTACTAAGTATCCTTACCTTGCTCTGACGTGATAATTTATTAATACAACTGTCCACCTATTTTTGAGCTATCAGGTTTTGCTTTGTAAGTTTAATGTTGCCCTTCAGTTTAGAAATCTCCTTTCATTTTCTTTTTTTGACCCATCAGGGACTAGGCTCCCAACTTTGCAGTTCAAATATCGCTGCTCAAAAAGCATCTCTCAGGTTTCAACTGTCTGAAAAAGAAAAAGATATGTCAGGCTTTCCAGGGGACACTGGAGAATATAAAAGCACAAGCAGGACAGCTGACCCACAGGGAAAAATGCAAAATGAACATGCAGGGTCCTTGTTCAAAAAGGATTAAAAATTTTGAAAGAAGAGCAGGATGTTATCCCAAGCACAGGGCCCTTCCGACGGGTGCAGGGTCTTCCCCAGCCCCCCTGGCTTCACCCCAGCTCTCCCACCGCCTCTCCCAGTCTCTTGCAGCCTGGCTGGGTGCAGGTGAGCGGCCAGTGCTCCCTCCAAAGCCGCAGGTGTCTTGGCCTCCAAACAATATTCTACGGTAGCCCACAAGGAAACTTTTTCCTAAGGCTTCCAGACTCTGCGACTCCAAACGCAGAAGGACCCCATCCCCTTTCATCTCAGTTGCCACCAGTCCAGCTAAAATTCCTCTCAAACAAAATTGTACCTGAAACCCAGAATTTAGTTATTTACCACTTTAGTTAATTTAATTTGTTCCAAAATTATTCCAATTCAGTCCATTTAATTTTCCACTTAGAAGTCACCTTTCCCTTGGCTTCTGAACACCATTTACAGAAAATAAAAAAGAAAAACTTCATTTTTGCTTCTCAGAGAGCTCTAAGGTCACAGCTGTCCTTTTCAGAAAGCTCTCTGTCAAAGCAAAGGTTAATTTTCACATCTTAAAACAGTTACAGTTAAATGCTACAGTTAAGAATGTTAGAAAATATAACCAAGGACAATCACAAAAATATGATGTGTTGATATGTGGGAGGTGTTCGTTTTGCACCCCAGTGGACACCAGATGAGGCCTCCCGAGAGACTGCCTCTGCTCAGCACGCCGTGGACTGTCCGCAGGGGCTCCCAGGAATCCCCCCGAGCTCCTGCTGTCCCACTCCTTATCCCGGGTGTCCTCATGGGGCCTCTAGTGAAACCTAGACCAGGACCCAAAACTCATGCTGTCCTCACAGGGCTTTCTGGTTCTCATTAGGGGTTCCCACGCTACCCCACGGATACAGTACCACCCATGATCTCACACTCTGGCCTGCTCCCTGAGCCGCCAAGGCTTCCTTCTGCATCCTGGTGCCCCATCCCTAACCAACTGTGGTGGAGGAAGGCATTTCCCAGCAACCCCATGCCTTGTCTCTGCTGGATCACAACGCACAAACATACACACAGCCTAAAGTTAGACTACATCCCGATTTGATTGGCCAACAAGTCAAATCCTTTGCAAGAGTGGTGACCACACAGAAGGGACAGATGCCACATGTCTCAGCTTAGCTTCTTTAGGCCTCATGAGGGCTTTGCAGCCGCCAGTGACAATACCCACACAAATTAGGATCCTGCCGAACCTGAGAAGCTTAACTGCTGCTCTGATGCCCCCCTGTTATACTCGGGGGCTTAGATCATGCTGAGGAAGAATTTGCCAACCTGTGCAAATTCTTCTGGAAGTTGGTGGTGGGGTTGGGTTGGGGGGGCGGTGAGGAAGGGAACTAAAATAAGGAGAATTCATTGAAAATCTGTTTAAGCAGAAGTCTTAGAAAGCCCTTTCTCTGTTCTATACGGCTGGGTAGCTGCCTCTCACCAAGCCCAGAAAAAAGGCTGAAGGTGCAACTTGTGCAACTTGGGCTCAACCAGGCCACACCTGCAGCTATGGGAGAAAAGGAAGATTTGGTCTATAGTGTCTCTGAAATCTGCTTCCATATACCCAATGTTCAGAAAAGCCCAGTGCCTGTGTTTTATCCATTTTTCATGCATATATTCCATACACATTTAGGTGAATATGTAGCATCTCGTGACTATGAAGTTCTCTTGTTTCAAGGTTGGAACATCATCTCTACAACTAAAACATTCATTTATATTGTATATGTATATATATGTATATATGCGTATACACATCATCTGATAGGTGCACATTGGAAATATAATTCTAAAGCTTTCCACAGCATAGTCTATTTCTTCCAGCTGGTTTCTTTCCTTCTGTGTCCTCATTTGGGTCTGTCACTCATTGTGTAGGATTTCCACAGTGCCTGCAATCCTTGCGTGTCTGCTCATGCAAAACACTGGTTGAAAGTTATTTATAAGTGAACTTCACTGTAGGATAATCTAGCTGGACTCCTTAAACAAAAGACCCTCCCTGTCATCGTCTTTAAGTCTTTTCTCTTATTCTGGCCAGATTCCCCAGAGGAAACACTTCCATTTCCTCCCTGGATGATAGCCTGTGGGGAGCAAAGCATGAGAATAGAGGTGGGACCCCAGCACTGAGCATGGAAATGCTCATTTATTCTCCTTGTGTACAGCGGAGATGCCCAAGACTCAGTGGATTCTGGGGGTCCCAGTGCAAAACCACCCTATTTTCCCTTTTCAGATAATAAACCTTCAGCCTTTTTTCTGGGCTTGGGGAGAGGCAGCTACCCAGCTGTATAGAATAGAGAAAGGGCTTTCTAAGACTTCTGCTTGAACAGATTTTCAAGGAATTCTCCTTATTTTAGTTCCCTTCCTCATCGCCCCCCACCCCACCCAACCCCACTGCCAAATTCCGGATGTAAGTTGCCAATTCCTGAGACTTTTAAAGATGTTGTGATTTCCAGTAGGTTGTTTCTCAGCTCCTAGTGTAAAGACGTGGATTTCTGGAGTCTGCCAAGTCATCTGTCCCCCAGCCCTCTGGCTCTCAGCTGCTAAAATGTCTGTTGTGTCCCCTTTCATAGTGTCCCCTTCCTGCACTTGTACACCTTTAAAAATATCTTACTATAGCTTTACAGGGATTCAGGAGGGAGTTGACCCCGGTGTTCAGTCCAGCATCTTTACCCACAATAACATTTTAAAGCAACATGATAAAGGTGGCAAAGAATTGGGCCAGAGATCAATGTAGAAGGCACAGCCTCTGGGTCACAGGAACCACAGAATGAATGTGAGTCCACCAAATAATGCCACTAAATCAACAGTTACAATGCAACTAGAAAATAACTATTAAGATATGAAAATAACTATTAAGATATGAAAATAACTATTAAGATATGAAAGGAAATTACTCTTCTATTTTTGGCCCTGAGGAGAGAACCATATCTATGAA